GAGATGGAGATATTCGCCAACAAGGAATTGGCCGAAATCCCCAAATAGCACTGCCAGAATATCATGACAATCTATCGTTCCCGTCTGCAACAGGCCATTGCAGTTACAAGGGTGCTGCACGAATTTCTAGAGGAATCCTCGTAGGGGGTTGAATAATTTTGCCACCTGCTTTTTGTGTTAAAGTTGCCATTTCAGATGAACTATGGAATAATATTGACTTTTTCTCTGATATTAAATTGTAATAAACTATCTGTTAATCACTTACATGAGTTAGGGATGTTCTACAGTTGTAATTTTCCTTATTTTGGCAAAATTCTCCAAAATACAAGAGGGGTTGAATAATTTTGCATGCGACTGTAGTTGTAACTAATAATTTGTATATCCATTTGAAATTTTGCCAGGGTAGAGGAAGTCAGCCAAGCACTTTCTGCAACTCCTTCCATCTCCCCCACTCTTTCCCTTCCTCAAGTCAAGTCTTCCCCCCTACCCCACTCTTACCCTTTCTCAACTCTTCTCTCCTCTCCCACTCTAACCCATCCTCGAATCTTACCCTTCCCCACTCTTACCCCTCCTCAAATCTTTCCCCCTTTCCCACTCATCCCCTTCTTCAACTTTTCCCCCTCCCCCACCCTAACCCCTCCCCAACCCTTCCCCCTACCCCACTCTAACCTTTCCTCAAATCTTCCTCCCTCACAACTCTAACCCTTCCTCAAATCTTCCCCCCTGCCCACTCATCCCCTTCTTCAACTCTTCCCCTCCCCACCCTAACCCTTCCTCAACCCTTCCCCCTCCCCTACTCTAACCCCTCCTCAAATCTTCCCTCCTCCCCAGTAACTCTTCCTCAACTCTTCCACCCTAACCCACTCTAACCCTTCCTCAAACCTTCCCCCCTCCCCCACTTCCTGTTATTGTTGTGCGTTATCAACATGTCATGCAGCTGTTCTGCCTTAGAAGTCTCCCATGCCCCTGAAGCATCGCCAAAAAAAGAATAATTATCATTTCACATAGAACATTGATCATGTCCACCGCTATGATTGCGTAAGGGTGGATCAGATTCAATATTGAATATTGACTGGCATGTTACAATGAAGTGCATGAAATATGAGTATTTACAACATGGACCCAATTATTACAAATAGATGGCATAAAATCCTACATATATCTGCATCATTAGCAGTAAAATACAGTGCAAAAACTTATCAAATCAAATTGACAATGAATACAACAGCTATTAAAAACATTCTAAAATCAGTATTAACAGAAGAATAACATCATAAAAACGTTCAAAGCTCAACCCCAGCCAATTATTTGTATATCCATTTCTAGATTATGTTTGCACAGGTATTCGCTATCAAGCTGCTAAACAGTAGATCAGTAGGATGGCAGTTAGAACTTAGATATGCTGGGTACTGAATATCTGGTCTGTGTGACAAACTCTCACTCAGTACCAGTATGTGACAACTTTCCAACAAGTTCTCAGGGGAAACTACTGAACAAACAACAAGAGGCTAGTAATGAATTGCTTGGAATCAACAAGAATTCAGAGATTTTAAACATAGTACAGGGAGCATTTACAATTTTTGTGAATTTAATTATAGGCACAACCAATGCAAAGAGATGGTCTGACATACTAAGTTCAAGGGGCCAAGAATAGAAACCAGACTGAGAGCTTGTCCTGACAAGCCCAGGATGAAGTGGGCCAAAGTGGACACAGTCTGCAAGGAGACCATTTACATGTAGACTGCTAACTTGACCTTAAAAGCATCCAATGCAATTTCAATGCAAAAATATTCTGGATGAGGAAATCTGTCTGATATTGAAACATACATTTCCTACCACATTTTCATCGATCATTTAACTTTTTAAGCATTCAAAATGCATCATTCTCGCCTGCTTGATAAATTATGTGAGGAGTCCCTTTATTTTTTGGTACCACTGATTACACCCTACAGACAAGGGCCTGCAGGACTGTCCTGACTCCTGATTGTACTGTATTGGTGGTATATTTTCATGGTTTACACAAGTTTGGCACTGGTTCATATCCCGGGAGTCAGTAGACTCGACCATTTGCCCCTTTGTGTTTCAGTGGTTCCCACGTTGGCCCTATGAGTAATGGCAAAATGTGCTAGCCTGGGCGCCATCCTCTGTAGTCTCCATGGTAGGCTACAAGCTAGCGACATTAGGGAGCTGGCAGAAACTGTGGAGGATGGCACCCAGGCTAAAAATGTGCTGCACACTGATCATGATAAGAAAGCACTGATGAGATCAGAGAAAGTATTGCGAACATGCAAACGTTGACAAAGTCCTTAAGAACTTCGCGATTACGGGATTGTAAAGGTATGGCGGTGCCCAATTTGTGAACGCTAGGCGCTATCCCCAGCTTCAAACGGCCGGCATCGCTGTATTCTACGATGGACTAACAAACTAAGTGTAGAAATCACTTTTCTGATATGCCACGCATGGCGTAATGACAAATTTTATTAAATCTCTTAAGTCCGGACCTTTATAATTTTAGCCTTGCAGTTAGTGCATTGGGTCTGTGGGGTGGCAGGTCTGGGTTCAGTGCTGTTCGAATCCTGGGAGCCAGGAGACTCTGCTACTGTTACTCGCCATTTAGTATGTTTCAACTCTCTCCTCCAAATTTGCAAGAACCATCTCGAATTTGAACAACCTTCCACATGAGGTTACAGAATTAGAGATTTCACAGCCAGGGTATATCAACATCTGCAGCTCGACTTACTGAACACCAACGCCCTTCCTCCTGTATGCGTGAACTACTGCCACATAGGAGAGTTGGTCAGTACCTCACCACAACCGGAACTGTGCAGGGTTGTGTCTGGATGCAACGTGCGTAAACGTGTGGTCTAGTTATGCAACACGTCTTGTTTTCAATCGTTCTCCGATGCCCTGAACAAAAAGACAATGACCAAAAGAAGACGCCATTCGTTTTCGTTACCTGACTGTGAAGATTCTGGTGCTCCAGCTGACTTGCCTGACTCTGCGTCTGAGTCTGGGAGGGGAGGGTGAAGTCCGTGAAGTCGAACTCGGTCCCTTGCGTGTCCGCTCCCATAAGCAGATCGTTCTCCTCGGTTTCTAGGAAAGTTAGCGACTGAGAACTGGGTCCATACGCCTCGACGCTGCTCATTTTGGTGTCTTTTATATTTCTACTTATATACAGAAATCGTTACTTTGTGTAGATATTTACAAAACGTCTAAATTTCTGGAAATACACGAGGAAATATCGAAAAGAACTAAACGAAACCGTCACAGATTCCACGACACTCCCGCCATTTTCACACAGATTGATGATGTAATAGAAAATTGTGTAAAGGGGAGTCACTTTCAAAGGGGGAACAACATTTTATGAATACAATAATCAGAGAGAAAAATATAACCTACCCATATCATACAATAACAATACATCGTATAATTTCATTTATTTAAGTTTTAAAGTATATTTTGATCATTTCTGTATCTAATCACATTTAATCTAGATTTTCCCACCCCCATTCTGAAAAGTGTACTCCCCTAAACGTCATCAGAAATGGTGCACAATCCGGTCACTGGGGCAGGTAAGCGCTCGTGGACATCTTTCTTGAAGATAGTTTATGAGAAAATTTTACAGTTTTTCGTGAAATATAAAATCAATACCTAATCTAATGCTGTTCTCTAACATGAAGCAGAGAAGATGGGCCTTAAACGAATGATGTGAATTTTGTTGAAATGTGTTTATTTCTCATTTTTGCGAAGTTGGTTGACGAGACTAGAGGACTGATCATGACAGCTCCTTTCGCGGGCTCCCCAAATTTTCGGAAATTCCCGAAAGCTGCTGTCGCAAAATTACGATAGAACGTTAAATATGTAACAATAATCTGCAAAACTACATAATTTATTTCAGTGATAGATAGGGCTCGAAATCCCCTTCAATCATTTGTAGAGAATTTTTTAGAAAAAAAAAAAGAAGATTCCTGGAAAAAAAATGCAAGTAGTAAACAACTTTTTTGCACATTTTTTGTTGGGCTAAAAATAAATACAGGCAGGATATTATAGTATTACAGTATTGCATTAAGATGTTGCAGGAATTCTCTAACTTGCAGTCTGATACATGTGCATGATTTAGCCCATACAACAGTTGTGGCACAGTGCATAGAAGCAATGGCAACATTTACTTATCCCACACTACAGTGTGGTTACACCGGAACCCCAATTTCTGGGTGTCGACAACTTCCCAACACTCCAGCCTGGCAGACCAGACCAAATCTTGCATTTGCAAACCTCTACCAGACTAACAACGTGGGTTTAGGAGCAGTGCAGTTTAGCCGAATGTTGAGAATAATTGGCCAAGGGAGTTTGGCCACTGTAGAGTTACTAATAATTTACCCAGAGGGAGAAATTAACCTTCCTGCAGACTGAGTCTACTGGCCAATTATTCTTTCCTACTTTACCGAATTCTATGATCCGTACCCCTGTAGGAAGGCCTGGTGGAGAGTAAGCGATCAGTCCGATTCTGTCCCCATGCAAAGTGATACTCTCATAAAATCTGGCTGATTATCAAAAAACTATTTTTGATAAGGAATGATAAATCAACAGTTGATAATTGTTCATGGAATCCCAGGGACCTCCCTAAACAATGGAGCAGTGGAGCTCCTCCACCCAGTCCTTATCTCAGCTCCACCCTGTTAATTTTCAAAACTAGTGTTTTTACACCCTTTTCCAGGGTTCTTTGGTCAAATTTACCGATATTTCGCACCCTCCTCCATTCTGTCCTAAATTTCTGGGGAGATCCCTGAATCCTCAATGTGTAGATAGCCTTATATTGTTAGCATATATTTTGTTCTTATGTTAAACTTTAACTTTAAGTGAAGATAGATTTATCAGTTATGCCATTACAGCACATGTACACTCTATTTTCAGAGATTTGAGCCCTCAAAATTTCTGGTGAAGAATCTTGGTCAGGAACAGTTGTCGGGATGTACAGCAATATCCAAGCCCCGCCATTCCCGTACAATCCCCTCGTACTCCAGGCCATGCATGCACAGTTGTCTCGCCCACCTCCCACACCGAGGGAACTCATCGCACTGGAGCTGAACATGAGACAGCAAAAGTGAGTTTAAAAAGCTAGTTAAGTTACTGTTTGATTCTCATTCATTTTCTATCTTTGCAGTATGGATAAAAATCTGAGGATACAAAGGGCGAGGGTTTGAGCCAGTGTCAGAGCCACACTCTGGAACGATTGTTAAGGGTTAGATATGTCTATTCAGATGGGTCTGTAAGCCAGCAGCCTTGTGTAGAAGACTTTGGCCTTTAATATGTATGTATTTGTATTTGTAACATGTCATATTCATTTTTATGTTCCAGAGGAATGCAAATAACAGGGATGACAACATGTCCTCTCAGAGGAATAAAGTAAGTTTGCTTTTAGATGGCTTTTTTCTCTTGCTGTCTATTGGTTCACTTGAGTCCAGTATAACCAATCAGTTTTTCTCACTAACCCTCATATTTGTTTCTTGCAGACGTCGACATGAAGTGGAGACGATGGACCCAAAGCGACAGTGTTTCCAGGCTCCTCAGCTGCAGAACAACAACCTGCAGTTCCACGCACTCCCTCAGCACCACCTTCTCCTCCAAAATGTCATCAACAGACAAGTGACCAATCAGAACCCTATGCATAATGCTACAACTTTAATCAATCCACAGCTTCTTTACAACAGGCTACATGTTCCTGAAGCACCAAGCAATCAGCTACCAGCATATAACGGTGTGAATGTAAATGAGCAGCCAGTGTCAACTGCACAGGCAGTGACTCTCAATAACAACAGGCCGATCGCCACTAGAAAACGACTAAACGCAGTCAGCACACCACCAAAGAACCACAAAGCTGCCAAGCAGATGAAAGTGGACGTCACAGATAAACCCTCAGGAAACTGCCACAGTAGCAATGTCAGGGGCAATATTACTCAGAGAGCAGTTCTGACCTGCAGCTGCCACTCATTCCAGAACCAGACAACAGTCCTGACCTCAAACAACTGGACAAGGTAATCTACTTTTCATTTCCTTAAAACATGTAAATACCTCTCATCTGCTTTATACAGTGTGTACAATCTCGTTCCTGTTTAGATGGGCTATGTATTAATCAAGACATGTATTTCTTGGTCTGCAGTTGTCCCTTCAGATGCTGGAGCGGTACCAGGCCCAGAGACAATCCAACTATGACCTGCAGAGGAAAGTTCGTCTCCAGGATGCCCTCACTGACATCATACAAGGAGTCATTCCACGTGAGTACTGATATGGGGAGGACAGAAGGGATTCAGTCTGTAAAGCATTGGTCTGTAGTTGTTGATAGTAAGAACTAAGATTGCCTTCCCTGTAAAAGCACTGTCGTCAATTATGGAAGTAAACAAACAGTTAACGTTGATTCGCATCAGATGTCCATGTCTGTCCCTCTCAGACTCCTCACTCTACCTTGTTGGGTCATCGCTGAACGGGTTTGGAAGTCACGACAGTGATGCAGACATGTGCCTCATCCTGGCCAACAGGAGATACGTGAGTCCTAGCCTTTGTCATTTGCTTCCTGAACATACAGAAAGATCTTATGGCCATTCGTCATAAGATCAGATACAGAAAGATCTTATGGTCACTCGCTTCCTGAACATACAGAAAGATCTAATTGCAGATCAGATATAAGCTTTATATTTTTTCTTCTACACAACCAAGTTCTTCTTACCTGGAAACATTTTGGTCGTCCTTCTGCTACCTTCCTCAGTACAATACTGGCTGAAGCTACTTCTTGCTGCAGGATGATGCTGCAATGAGAAGAATGTGGTCCAAAATGTCTCCAAGTTTTTATCCCCCCCTAGTCTTTTACCATCTAGATCGCCTTTTTTCTTACAGATTAACCAGAGAGGAGAGGCACGAGAGATCCTAGCTGTTGTGAACAAAGCTCTCCGAATCTGTCGTAAGTCAGAGTTCTTTTGTTTTAAAATTTTAAAAAATCATCCCAGAATCATTTCTTTCAGTGTTGACTTGATGATTAGTTGTCTAACAATGTAATAGACATCATTGAAAGTTGTATTTATGTAAGCCAGTAACAATGGATCCAGGTTCCTCATTGTTATCTTGCATATTGACAGCCTTCATTCAGCGACCCCAGCTTATCCGAGCCAAGGTTCCCATTCTCAAGTTCAAGGACTCAGTCAGGTTTGTAATCATCTGCTCTGTTATTTCATACATTCTTACAATCAATTACTATATGGGTATAGGGCTAGAGGCCTTGCTGTGTTTGTGGTTTGGTCTTTAGTCTAGTAGAAATGTTATTCAGTTTTAGCTTATTAATTCAAGCACACAATGGCGTATCACATTTTAGATTTTGATGGATAACTTTATGAATTGATTTCAACTACCTTTGATTGCTGTACATGTATGAAGTAATTGTTAGCCAGTGATGCTTGCTGTTGAGTTCAACCACTAAGTTGTGTTGAACTCAACAGCTCTGTATGTCTAATCATTGTTTGTTTTTCACCTCCAGCGGTGTGGAGTGTGATGTCAACATCAACAACCTGACTGGTGTCAGAAACACCTTCCTTCTACAGGCGTATTCTCGACGTAAGCTCAACTACTCAGAGTCAGGATTGTGGTGGCTATGAAAAAAATGTTCTCTGCTGCTTGTGGGGGACTATTGAAGGATGTTGTAAAACTGAGGGTTATTTATCCTGTTTTTATACATGTACGGACACGTACAAATACATTTTGTAGCTTTTGATCACAACATGTTGCTGGGTTTGGAGTACATTGTTGCTGCATGTCAGGAAATATAAGTAAATAATTACACTGTAGATGCATGAATTTCTTTGGCAGTCCATGGTTCTGCTGCCATTTGGCAAACTGGTAGCCTTGGTGCCATCCATTTTGAAATGGGATAGCAAGAGCAAGGAGCCCTGTTACAAAACAGATGGCACTCAGGCTGGCAAACTGGTCCTAAGACTTTGTTTTAAAGAATGTCTGCTGTGTTGTGTTGTGTGCAGTGGACTGGAGAGTACGGCCCCTGGTGTTCCTGGTGAAGCTGTGGGCAGGTGCACAGGGGATCAATGATGCCAGCCAAAGTACACTGTCTTCCTACTCACTAACACTCATGACTCTGCACTACCTGCAAGGTAGGGACAACTCTAGTACTGTATGTCATAATGCTGTAATTATATGTGTTCTCATGGGTAACTTGAAAGAATACAAATTGAGTGTTTTTCTTTCATGAAATAAAAAAGTGGTAAAAATTATTCTTTGTATTCAGTCCTATTTGTGATGTGGTGACTGAGTATACATGTGTTATGGTCATGTTGAAGTTATTGGCCAACTTTATTGATGATTAAACGTACTGATATTCTATTCTCTTGCAGTGGGCTGTTCAGCGCCAGTCATTCCGTCCATACAGAGGGATTACCCAGTCAGTATTTAAACAGTTTCTTTGATATTTCATACTTGTGTTTTTACATTAATCCAGTTATGAAGCACATATTTGTCACAATATGGCATTATGAACCACAATGTACTTCTCGCTACATGTAATTATACACAGATTATGTTCCTTTCAGATTTAAACACAAATGTTTTAACTGTAAAAGATTGAATAATTCCTAAGTTTCCAATATACATTACCTCTTCAAAACCTCAACATAGAGAGATGGGTATAATTCTTTGACTATTGTTGACATGAGAACCTGTGCTTGTGTAGGAGCTGTTTGCCCTGCACCTGACAGTGGACCAGCTGGAAGCCAACGTGAGCCGGGTTCCCCCGTACAAAACTGCCAACACACAGTCACCAGCAGAGCTGCTCAAGGGAATGCTCAGCTACTACACAAATGTGTTTGAGTAAGTTGGTTGCTTTTTTGACTATCTCTAACGGTTAGGTGCATAAAGTACATGTTGTATTTTTAGTACTTTTTTGGGGTAGCCTTTTTTGTATTTTAAGATATACAAGTACATGTGTCTATTAAATTATCATGGAAGTTTGTCTGTGTTGGTAGTAATTATAGTACAATGCTGAACTTTATTCCAACACAAGGGTACAAAGGATAAAATTTTAAGCGACCACTGTCGTCTTCATCAGGATGAACAGGCATCTCTTGTTTTTGGCATCCTTAAAGATGTCATCCTTTGCTATTTAACTGAATGTAACAAATGTATTAATACATGCCCCTGAACCTGCTGTTGACAGTTTTGAGGAGGAGGTCATCTCTGTGAGGCTGGGCGTCAAGCTGAGGAAACGTGGCCTGCAGGATGACAGGGAGTGGCGGGAAAAATTCATCTCCATTGAAGGTTTGAGCTGTCAATTTCTTTTGGATATTTTGATAAAAAGAGACTCTTTATGAAGCACAAACATACAAATTTTATCCTAGCAGAACGTTAATATTTTATTTGATCGTGCAAACACTACGTAGAAATTTAAAATTTGTATCAGTGTCCTGAAGAGCAATTCATTATATGTAATGTCTTCCTGTAATGCCGTATGATGACTCTTGAATCTGTTCACATGTAGAGCCATTTGACCAGTCCAACACAGCTCGGGCAGTGTATCAGTACCCCAAGTTTGAACTGATCAAGAAGGCCTTCAGTAAGGTATGTACACTATAATTAGTGAGTTTAAGCTATGATATGACCATGTTATCAAAAACACTTATGTTATTCATATGAAATATTGCAAAAAGTTGATCTAGATGTTATAAGATGCTGGTTGGTATAAGAGTACATTTACATGTAGTCTCTATGGTGGACATTGAATATGTTCCTGTTTTTGTCTTTCATAGGGCTACAAGATTCTTCAAACAACCGACAACCTAGATGACCTACTGTGCAAGTGTGATCCATGACTTTTCCACTTTTGACCTCTGCAATCCATGACTTTGTTGAGTCCTGAAGGGGGAATGCTTCTCTCCTGATCCTTTATTTATCTCCAAAGAAACTGATATCAAAACAAAGACATTTGTCACTTGGTAAACCTTGAAGACAGGAGATGGATGCCTTGTGTTACTTAATGTTTGGACTTTGAAGAAAGCACTGTTGCCGAAGATTTCCAGTATTGGTTGTTGTTTCTTCCCCTGATACTAGTGTTCCAAATGGACCTGCTACCAAACTGAATATCTATTGCAGCATACCTGACCTGTGACATGTTGGTGCTAATGACCTGAATAGTTCCCAGTTTAGTATATAAGAAAAGTATTCCACAAGTCCTGTTTGCTCTGCCATATTAGGAACAATTTGAATTCAAGCCAAGAATTCAGAAGAAAGGAACTATGTTGCATCATGAGTAAGTTTTGATCTCAATCGTTGACTGGAAGAGCTTCCCAAACATCTTACCTTTGGAGATCTTTCAAAGCAAAGTGAAGTCCACTGTGGCAAGGCAGTCTCATTCAACCTGTTTTGTTTATTTAGCTTTTATATTTTATGTTGCATCAAGATGACTTATTCAGGTACCTCTTGGTGGTTTTAATAATGACTGTGAAGCCAAAGATTAAAGATGATCCAATAAAGTGGAACTTGAATGGCATTTACTGTTGTTTATATGTTATGTATTTTAAGAACTATTAAAGATCATACAAAACCTTAAATGTGCTCTTTTATCTGTTAATGGTTAATGGCCTGGCTGTGTACATGTACTACAGATGCATGACAAAGATTAAGTCAGCTGTAATTAGTGGATGAATGGTTGAGGAAAAACAGGAAGTAGTATGCTTTTTCCTCTGTATAACATAATTTCTCTTCCAAAACTGGAAAATTTTCATCTTTGCACCCATATCAAACAAGTACATATGTAAATGTATTGGAACAGTGTTGCATACAACAAGAATGGAGGGTAAGTTTTTAGCATGGGGTCAAAGAAATGGAGTTATCTACAGCCTGTCTGTAATATTCAAATGGATGAAAAGGTGTGGATACGTAGAGTAATACAGTAACTTGTATTTTCTCATAACAGCATGGTTTTTGTGAGGATAAAGTCATGGCACTACCAAAAAGCCCAAACCGATGTTTCTTAACTGTACCTTTTTTTTTGGATGTTGGTTCCTCCTAGATGTTTGCTGTTAATCTTATTACATTGTAGAGGTAGTAAAAATGTGAAATTCCATTGTAATGGTAATGTTTGTATATTTCTATTCCATCACTTTAAAAAAAAGTACATAGATTCTTGATTACATTTTTGTATCCCCTTTGTTGATTCACGATGTCTCAGAATGTTCTGTCTGCTTCTTAAGTTCCTGTATAGAGTTGGTCAGCTCTGAGCCCATGACTTCCAGGTCTTCACATTTCTGTCTCAGTTCAGTCTTGGTTTTCTCCAGTCTAGTGTTCAGCTCGAGGTAAGTTCTGGCTTGTTCGTAGCACCCGTCCACATCATCCTGCAAGTCCTCCTGGGAGATTTGGGAAGGTTTCCTGACTTGGCCAGATGACTGTTCCTCAAAGGAGTCGCTCATGATGCCATGTTTTCCAGGGTCTGTAAAATAAGAATATTTGATTACAGTATAATTTAACAAAGTGAATGTGTAAGATTGATCTAAAATCCATATGCCTTTTGATGAGAATGATAACAAAGATTATCAAAATTTCATAGAGGTTTAAGTGAAAGATTACATCCTTGTTTCAAAGCATGTACTTGCATGTACTGATTATCATGTGAAGCTACATATATGACGTCCTTCTATTCTCTGGCACGCACCACTGCACGTAAACAAACATATGATACACAAACACGCAACTTCATATACACATACATAACGTTACAATCAATCGAATATTTGCTTCCTTCTAATAATAGTAAGGCTATAGATTTAAGGTTTTGACTTTTTACCAGTGGTGGTTGTCGTAGCCAGTCCCTGTATGTTGAAACTGATGTTCCTGCCTTGCTCACGTCTTCTGAAGTACGTAAACGCCACGTCATCTTCTGGGGCGTTTTTGACGTCCTCCAGGATATCTGCCGCAGTCGGCGGCTCCGGCCGGGTGGGAAGGGTGACCTTTTTCTTCCCTCTCCCAAGCATCGCGTTCATGGCTGCTGCTGACGTGCCTACGGTAACGGTACAGGTCTTCGGTGTGAAACACTCTGGGTGTGAAGGAAAACGAGGGTTTGACCTTTGGGACGAAACCAAATACTGTAGGGGCTCCCCGTCTCAAACCGTATTTTGTTTTACCAGGATTAGGTGATATTACCGTTCAAGTTATTAATTCTAGGGAAATTACAGTTCTTAAAATAGATATTTGCAATTTTTGGCTGAAAAGTTTATATGTTAGGGAAGATTTTGCCATCCACTTCCTAACACCGCCACAGTAATACTGCAGAAGGAGACTGTAGAGGCCGCGACAGTGGAGGCGTTTGTGTCGCGAGCGGCCGCAGAGCAGTCTTAGACCTACTTTTACAGCCTTCTTGGTGACGACTCGGCATGGACAATGGACGACGATTTATGGACAATCCTTAAAGTCAGTATTACATGATTGCACAGACTCCTGCGCAAAACGCGCTCTCTCCCAAGAAGCCAAAATATTCGTCGTAACGAATGTGGGCTTACACCGGAAGAAGAAGAAGAAGTTTTCCTACAATGCACCCTTCCAGTCACCTTTAACCTAAAATGTCGCTGTTAAGAACTTTTCAGGAGTATCTTTTTCACACTTCTTCACTCCATACACAACATAAGAAACAGTTTCATTGGTTTTAATAACATCTACATGATCACTAGCTGTGTATTTTCTGCCTCAGCTGTACGACTGTTGCACAGGTGCAGTGTGGGGAGAGGAACGTCGTGGTTCTTTAGGCCACAACAGCGACAGCGACAAACAACATCTCAGCCCTGGGTGATCCCACCCGCTCGAACTTGCGCAGTACTAGTGAGCCGATCTGCCGCCACCATGGCTGCAGCCGCCCGCGCCCCGGCCAGGATTGGCGACCCCGTCTCCGACATAGACACTCCCGCGCTGGTGGTAGACCTGGAGAAGCTCCAGACGAACCTAAAGATCATGCCTGAAAGCATGTCTAGTTTCGGGAGCGTGGCAGTTCGCCCGCACGCCAAGGCACACAAGTGTGCTACCCTTGCTCTACTGCAGGTGCGCATGCCTTATCGGTACTTCAGACTTTGCCGTGATGTTAAAAGTTTCAGTACCTGAAGAGGAATTTGTCCCCCGCGATTTTTCCAGAATATCATTGAACTGTCAGCAATTTTTAACAATCGTGTTGTTTTAGAATAAAAGTGAAATTTTCTTTTTTTTTTATTCGATCATTTCCTTTATTTCATTAGTGCATGAGTGTTGCATATTATCATCCTTAAATCTTTGAAAGTGATACGGAAACCAGTTGCTGTCAAAACACATTTTTGCGATACACTGTACTAAATTCGAGGACATAAGTTACAAAAATATAATTTGACCTTGAGCTAACAAGTCAGAAAAATACCACCACACTGTCTACATGTACACGATTCAGATAAATAGTGTAAGGATGTATTTACCAGGGCTGAATGTTGTTGTATAATGTTGCCTCAGGTGTCCCATGGTGCTGTGGGTATGTGTGCTCAGACACTGACAGAGGCAGAGGCCATGGTGTATGGAGGGGTGCAGGATGTTCTTGTTTCAAATCAGGTAAAATTTCATATTTACATAAAGTTAATATTTATTCATGGTAGAAGTATTGCTCAAACAATTTGGGTTTTTAAATGACAGAACTACATAACTAGTATACAACTTTGTGTGTGTAACGTTATGTTGATGTCTTCTTAGGCCTATATTTTACAATATACTGATGTTTCATATTTCCATGTACAGATAATAGGTCACTCTAAGTTGCTGAGATTTGCCACCCTTGCCCACCATGCAAAGATGACTGTGTGTGTTGATAATGAGGACAATATCCGTGAGTTATCAAGTGTTGCAAAGGAGCTGAACGTAACCATTGGAGCTGTAGTCGAGGTCAATGTGGGCCAGGACAGGTGTGGTGGAAATCTTTGTATCCGTCATTTTAATTCACTGCTGTAGTGTTTGTGTTAAAGAGCGTTTAATGCGTTAAAGGATAATTTCAACAAATAGCCTCTAAGTCTGGTTTGTACATCTGGAATTAAATTGCCAATCAGGATTAAAAAGCTCACCCATTGCCCCCACTTTCTATTGATTGATATCCATAATCAATAATTACTTTGTCCTATGATAACAAGGAACTGCTACTGTGACTGCTACTGTGAAAGTCATAACTGTTAATTGTCATCAATTTTGGCAGAGAGCTTTCTCCAATCCTTTTATTTCCCAGTCCTGTACTTGCAGCTATGCCTGTGATATACTAGTAATGCAGACTGAAAGCAACAACTTTGTGTAAACTTTGTGTTACTAGCTAACATTTTTCAGGTGTTTATGTGAAATGTAAGTGACTATTGCCATCTCTATGTTACCTTTGCCTGTTACAGATGTGGAGTAGAGCCAGGTCCTGAGGTCCCCAGGCTGGCCAAACTTATCCAGGAGCTGCCCAACCTGACCTTTGCCGGGGTCCAATGTTACCAAGGGTAAACGTGTGGTTATTGAAGTAAACAGGATTTAAGGTTGGAAGCTATAAAAAATAAAAACAAACTTTTCCTGCCCCAACCAGCTTAGTTTGCATGTTACACAGTCCATGCAAATGTGGTAAGGATGGAGTATAGGATATACATTCATGGTATGATCAGATTTTGGGGCTTGGAGTGGATAAAGGTTACGGCTAAGTCACCCAACATGAAACCCTAAATTAACGATTTTGCAATTCCTTTTAGAGAGAAAGCTGCATTGCCCCTGTGGCACATCAGCTCTGGGACTGATGGTGATTTTAATCATTACAGATTATGATTTATACTTACACCTCTGCCCATGTTTCATGTCTCTTGTCATATATTGCCTTCCTGGCCTAATCTGTGTGCTACAACCCATCCAGTGGGGCTGATTTATCACTACAGGAAAGCTGACATTTTGCACACTGTTCTTCTCCATAGTTTGAATCAGCATGTGCGGAAGGCTTCTGATAGACAAGCTGCTACAGACAGTGTGGTTGAAAAGTCCAAGATTGCACTGAAGGTCGGAACAGAATCTTATACTTAATTTGATATTCCTGGTGCTGCCTTACTGTTGCCCCTGTCTCTGGTGCTGAATGACATTCTAGACCTACTGTTGCCCCTGTCCCTGGTGCTGAATGACATTCTAGACCTACTGTTGCCCCTGTCCCTGGTGCTGAATGACATTCTAGACCTACTGTTGCCCCTGTCCCTGGTGCTGAATGACATTCTAGACCTACTGTTGCCCCTGTCCCTGGTGCTGAATGACATTCTAGACCTACTGTTGCCCCTGTCCCTGGTGCTGAATGACATTCCATACCTACTGTTACCCCTGTCCCTGGTGCTGAATGACATTCTACACCTAGTGTTACCCCTGTCCCTGGTGCTGACTGACTGTTAGATTTACTGTTCTCTATCCCATACTATTCTCAAATAACCCATGTACATATACATGTACATCATGGACAGGTGAATATTATTTAGATAACAACTTCTATAATCGTATGGTATGCAAAGGATTTTGATGGATTTCCTGGTTATAAATGATGAAGCAAAAAATTGAATTATCATACTGTATATAAATTTCGCATTGCTCTAACAGTGTTGTAACTTGTAGGCCCTGGAAGATGCAGGGATAAAGTGTGACTATGTGACAGGTGGGGGCACAGGAACATACCTGTATGAGGCAGCAAGTGGAGGTGGGTCTCTCTTTTTTTTCTTTTTTTTTCGTCATGAAATCTTGTAGTTAATTCCTAACATTTGCTACAAAACCAGTGGGATGTAGGAGACAGACAGTTACCTTACCTAAGGATGATATGGTGCTGCCTTTTTTTGTTTCAATAACTAGTGTTCACTGAAGTCCAGCCGGGATCCTATGTGTTCATGGATGCAGACTATGGAAGGAACTTTGGTGAGGATGGCCAGCCAGTACACCAGTTCCACCAGAGCCTGTTTGTCCTGACTACTGTACAGAGTGTCACAGTGAGTACAATAAAATCAATGCAGAGTACATGTTTTCTAATAGGAAGCAAAAATGCATGATGATAATATGATGTAGTTAGGCAGGCAACAGTAAAGGAAACATCATTCAAAAATTAAACATTGACATCCATATTTACTATATCTCTTGAAATATTCACTACTACTTAGTACATCTTAATGTTCCCAATTTTGTGATAATTTCTCCACCGTGAATTTAACACACCAGCAAACTAATGCCAGCATTTCCAAATTTTGTAGCTCTTTTTTCAGTAGCTAACTCCATGTGCAGTGTTTACTTTCACTGACTCACAAAATTGAGGTGTTGCAAACTTGAACAAGTGTAACAGTTACAGTATTTGGTTTGACATATTTTACCTTGTCCCCAGGCTGGAAGCCGTGCAGTGGTGGATGCTGGGATGAAGGCAGTCAGCCTTGACTCAGGTGAACCACTGGTAAGTTTTCATTACAAACTCCAGGAGTGACTTCTGGTGACTGTATGTTTGAATGAAATGCTGATGAATTGTAACTGAAAGTTTTGTGATGCTTTGTTTACATCTTACTTGGTATTTTGTTTTAAGGTTTATCCCACTGGGGACGTGATCTACAACTGTGGAGGAGATGAACATGGGATTTTAAGGCCCCCTTCTAATTACAAGGTAAGGTGCAGTAACACAGATTTGTCATGTAATTTTTTGTAGGCACATTTTAACATCAAGATATTCCAATTCAGAACTTTTCTCTCTCTGTTCTCTAAAGTGTACATTTAGTTGGTAGTTGCAGATTTGCCACAGTTTTGCTGAGTTTATCCATTGTTAAGTTTTCTAGAATCTTTTGGGTGTTTTAGATTTGTTCCTTTTTGCAATTCTACAGTTTGAACCACAGAGAAAGGTGGTTCACACCAAAATGATGCCTACATAACAGTGTGAAAGTTTGGATTCCTAGCTGATTATTTGTTATATTCTTACGACAGATTCCCACATCACTTCTTTCTTCTCCCTCAGGTGGGTGACAAAGTATGGCTGATTCCAGGGCACTGTGACCCTACTGTCAACCTCTATGATTGGATGGTTGGGGTCAGGAACAACAAGGTTGAGGCTCTCTGGCCAATCACAGGCCGTGGTCCTGGTATCTGATGGAAAGAAGAGCTGTCTCCTGCTCAAAGCAGGCTGCCATCTTGTGATGACAAGCACACCAGACTTCCAAGCTAGTGTGTCACAATTCAATTTTTGGATAAAGGGAAGATTTGATGATCTGATGATTTGATGAGCTTTTGATTTAGCTTTACGTAATCAACCTACTGAAGGAATACATAAAATTTTGACACAGCAACATGTGTGGAGTGTTGTGTTTCAGGTGCAAATTGGTGTTGCTTCTCCTTTTGGATATCCATCCAATTTGAAGTTGGTGACATGTTCCTTCGCAGTTGAGCATCCCCTGAGTATTGGTGTGAGTGGGGTTCAGGTGATTAGCCTCAATTGAGACCCTAAAATCCAAGACAGAAAGTGTCAACACTTCCTTGATAGGTATATAACATTTTCCACTGATGTGCCAGTTTTGAGAATGGCAGTGTTCTTTCATGACTTTGTTGTGTAAAAATGTTGGCTTGCCATTGAAAAACTTAATATTTTGGGTCCTGACAAAATCGTTCTGAAGGTCAGTGAGATATGGCCGTTGCCTGTGAGGAAATGATGACAATGATTTGAGGATTAGTGCTTTATAGCACCGAAATTTCAGTTTATTGATTGGTCAGCAAACTTTGTCAACGGCCCTCGCATACTAGTAATCAGAACCCTGTGTATATTTTTGTAAAAGCTTGACAGAATCTGCAACAGAGGATAAAGAACACGAGGTATCTGTAAGTTATTTGTGCCACGTTTCAGCAAACTCTACCAGAAAACGTAATTATCCCTATTCCAGAGAGACCATATTTAATAACACTAATGTTGTATCGCGCATTTTAAATATAAACGCGCCCGGCCAGTACAACGCAATTCCCCACATGAAAGGATACAATAGTATGCAACACACGACCGTTTCATCCACTGATTTTATGAACAGCAAATAAAACGGAATTATGTCCACGGTACCATCATGGAAGGCACAACGTACTTTATGACAACAGATCTGTGTCTGCATGCGTCTTTATTTTTAAACAGCAGACAATAAAACTTGGATTCTCAGATTGGAGGGGATTAATGTTTGAATAGCTTACTCGTAAAAGTTTATATCTCCGTCCAAATAGATTTTCAGAACAATTCATCATTCTCCTGTTTAAATCGCTCATCAAGGAACACTAAATTACCACTAAATTACCAGTAAAATACCTAACTACCATGCAAAATGTACGCAGAAAAACCACTACTTATTCACCACTCCTTAAAATAACTGCGTCGTTTTCAAGTCCAAAATCACTGTGATTTCCTTGGACCGAATTTCAAACAGTCCCGTCTATCCCTTGTCTTTAACTATCAAGCAGTAGAGTAAGATTTATTGGGCAATCTCGCTGAGAAATATTCCTCGCCGCGCCTGGATGTGACCTGTGTTCAGCAGGTGCCCCGGGGAGTGCGGCTCCCGCTCCAAGCACGCCCGGCATTCTGCACTTCTGACCAACCGTACAGCACGTGGCTTTATTACAATCTGCTCGTTTACGCAGCATGTTATTGCAAGCTGTTCCCATAGCGTTTCAGATTCATTGCCATTCGGTCGGTCTCATTTCAATTACTATTTGTGCAACGTTATATGGACATGATCATCCTTCTATTAAAGCTACGTGAAATGTTTATGCAAAGAGCATCCTTGGTATGTGTATGGATATCAGCTTTAGTTTAAGTTACAACAAGTATCTCAGTAACAATCTATCATTTAGCTGAATATAAGCTGATATTAGATCACATTTCTAGATGAAAGTTTTTTGTTTGTTATCCAGTTGCAATATATAGCATGCCATTTTTAGTTGTGTAATTCTTTCCCGGATAAATGTTGCTACTTGAACGCCCATGTACGTATGAGGTACAGTACGTTGTATCTGATTACCATGTGGCATTGTCTTCTTCAAAAAAGTATGATCACAGCAACTGAGTTGGAGAAAGTCTCTAGCAAGGTGTGGGTGGGGGGTCTTTCTTACGGCGTGTCCATAATCTTGTTACTTTACGTGTGATATATATAGCAAGAATAGACTGTGTAAATGTAATAACGGTACCAGGGAACAAGAATCCAGCTGTTAACTTGAGACGTCCTTGCCATTGCATTTCAATACCTTCATCCTTCATATTTAGTCGTAGAGTGAAAAGATCCAGTCGAAATGTTGATACTAGTAACGTATGGTGCTGCAAACATCGCCTGTGCTTTTGTTGCGCCTTTGAAGTTTTGCAACAGATAACATCGGGCAACTTCCCGGCGCTAGGTGACGCCGTCTCAGTGAGTGGATATTTAGACGGGCACGAATTGATGTAACCATGATGTCACTAAACTGACAGAAGGTGAAAGGATTGAAGAAACACAAGTATTATAGTATTTAAGCTCAGCTCATGAATATTAGCCAGTCGCAACATAAATGTTGTCCTACATTGTAGCGTGGTTTTAATAGCGACTTCATTGTCAAATTAAAGCATGTTAGCCATTTACAGCACATTGGGTTTTCCCTTCAGAGAGCTTAATACTTATTTTAATTGCAAATTATAGTAATCTCCAATCAAAGGTTGTAAGAGTGTTGCACACGGGTTGGTCTTATTATAAAACGACAAGTTGACTTGTGGAATATAACACTTGAACTGATACATACGTTTCTTCAGAGCATTAGGTATTCCGTAAGTTTTCAGATGGTACCGGTGTACTTATTGGAAAATTCCAGCGACCCCGTGGAGCGTGTGGGGTATGACCAGCTGAGTAAGCCGGACCTCAGAGGGTCCCTGTACAGCATGCTAAACGCCGCCGCGATTCTTATTGGACTGGACGTTTAGAAGACCTTACATCGAGCTGACGATCAATAACAATCACTACCGGGGTGATAGGTCTGAGTATCAGCACCAGATTACTGCACGCAAGAGGGGTTAAGTATCAGTGGGCGTCCTAAGCCCCTCCTGACGTGTATTACCGCCCCAAATTACCGTGAATGGCAAGGGACAATAACTGACCCCATTTGAAATCTTTAAGTCCGCCATTTGTTATTACCCTTCGATCAAATGCCAAACCCTGTTATGAGCATTTTACGCGCGCCGTAAGGTAATTACAGACAGGATGGCTAATGCCTACCATACTGTTGTCCAATCCCGATCAATGTACCAATAACGGAGTGTAACCTACTTTTCATATACTGACGGTTTACGTCGACAAGCGGTTTAATGTAAGTAAAATGCCACCATGTTGTAAACACACGGTTCCCAATCAAAGGGCGATGATCCGAAAAAGGTATCGGTCCGATCCAATGTAGCCCGAATGGAGGGTTTGCTGACTTGATGATGAGGTTGAAATGGTTGCTGATTTAGACTGATTCAGCTGTTATGTGTTGGCTGTTAAAACTACTTGGTAACCTTGGCCGTGTGGAACTATGTGTTTGCCACATTGATCGCACGATTTGCCTCACTGGCTACCAATGCCGCCTGCCAATGTCAATTATGTAGTTGTCGACTGTGATCTTTCTTCGTTTCTTTTCTTCTTTTTTTTCTTTCCTGGCTGGCTAATGGGTTGGTGATTTGTTAATTACCTAGTCAGCTGGTTGTTAGTTGCCGGTTGGTTGGTTTCTTGCTTGCCTGCTTGCCTGCTTGCTTGCTTGGATGGTTGCTTGGATTATTGGTTACTTGCTTGGATGGTTGCTTGGGTTGTTATTGTTGGTTGTTGGTTGGTTGGTTGGTTGGTTGGTTGGTTGCTTGCTTGCTTGCTTGCTTGATTGGCTGGTTGGTTGTTTCCTTGTCTTCTTGCTTGCTTGGATGGTTGCTTGGGTTGGTTGTTCGTTGGTTGCTTGGATGGTTGCGTGCTTGGTTGTTTGCTTGCTTGATAGCTTGAAACTCTGTGTTGATACTTAATAGTTAAGACAAAACTGATGGTAAATAACGAGTCATTTGTCGTCTTTACGTAAAGCTTTACGTACATTCTTCTTCTTCTTCTTTTCGTCTTGGCAGACGTCGTTCTGCTCAACGTCGATGGGCTCGTCCGTGTACATAACGATGCTGAAATATTATCCCAGACGTGGTAATGATTTATTGAGACATAAGACATATAGGTATATTATACACATATACACGTTAGAAATCTAGTTTGCATCAAAACTAAACACAAAGTTGTTCATTCTGACCATGGCAATGATACTACCCTGAGTTTGGCACTGAGCTCGCAAGCCCACTCACGGGCGCGGGCTTTGATTTGGCCAAAGCTTTCCAGATTGAGGGACTTAAGTTGATGGAGTTCATGACATCTTAATGCACGAGGATGGGCGATAGGTCTAAGAAAGTAAGTAAGTAAGTTACACATAGAGTGCTTCTAGTCCAGCGCCTGTGGGTCTATACCCATCTCCATCCTTTGTTACATGAACAAATTTACGGAGGCAGTAGTGTAGCAAGAGCCTCAAAGGCACTTACTTCAGAACCACCTCATTCCAGTCGGCAGTTTGGATTTAAACCTAAGTACAGCCCAGCAGATATACTGACCACCATGCCTCGGCAGTGGTCCAATGCTCCCAACAAAGCCCGTGAATTGCACCTTACGGGCGCTTTTGAGAAGTAGCAGCATGATGGGATCAAAACTCATCAGCAATGGGGTCTGTGGCAAGACACTGTCATGAATTTTCAGCTACCTCTTCAACCTATCATTGTGATAGCTGATGGGAATATGAATGAAGATGCCACAGAAAGAAAGTACAGGTTCCTGTTTCACTTTTTATTTCCTGGGTTAAAGCGGCTACAGACGGTGTGCTCTGTGAGGGAGTCCGGGAGGAAAGAGGTAAATCAACATCTTGCTGAAAGCTACATTATGGTAAAGAGCTAACCTGTTACAAGAACAGGGGCTACTGTGCTATTTTGGTTCAATATACGACATGGGTAGGTGTGAATATTGTACGGTGCATGCTTATTATGACGTCATTTGTATCATTAACGAGGAACACGAGCGAGGAAACCGCTATGAGTTTTAGATATCCATATAATCAAGACATTATCAAAACATTATTCCTTAGTTTGACGGACAAAGTCATCAGATACGTAAAAAAGGTCTAACACATTGCACATGCAAGTGGTCGACGAACTTTGTTGTACATGAGATTTAGCGGCAGTGCTAGAATGCGTTGCACCACCATTACATGGACTATGCCTGGCGGTATATTGCCTGTTGAGCACACGTCTAGCTCTATATTCCACTAATCCTAGTGGCGCCCACATGCAGCACTGTAAAACATCAGCACCATCTTTTAACGCTAACAGTACTGACGGGACCGACCGAGAGCAGTCAGCACCGCTGACAAGAACGGACAATCTACAGGCAGATCTTTCGTTGGGTGCAGTTAGAGTTAAGACAGTATCAGACTGGCAAGACAGTATCAAATTGCCAGGGCAGTACCCATTTGCCATCCAAGCCAATCTTTGTGCGGCTACAAGACAGTATCCATTTGGCTGGCGTAAAAGATACCAGTACAAAAAAGAAAGCACTATAAAAATGCGTTAGATACGTCAAAAATAAGCCGTAGCATGACCCTTTGTCTGGAGAGTAATGCTGGCAATTTAGCTAGGACGGAGGGAAAGAGCAGGGCATTCGTATTTATGAATCTGGTTTTCTTTTGACACATGAATAAGAGTAATTTCGATTGAAAACACACTGTTAACATCCGTTACACCTGTTTTGAGTTAAAAGGAAAACAAATTTGGAAAAGTCTTATAACCAGACTTAAACGTTGATTGAAAATGCCCCAACAGCAAGCCATGGTCAACAAGTGGAAAATATAAAAAAAAAACATCGATATGGATCTGAAGAAAAAGATGTGTTAGTTATAACATATGTTTGCTCAAAAACGCTGAGAATTGATAACAGTGGCAAGCCTGATGCAGTCTAACACTAACCTCGCACCACATGCAAGGGTGATGCCTTCTGCATTCAAAGCATAGCAATGCACAACAAATATGATCTCTACCGACAACGTGAGGAAAATCCATACAGATCTGAAATGTCAGCAGTCCGCCGGAAATGTTTGATAGAACCGCGTGGTGGAGCGTCCTTCTAGAATAGGCTGGCTTTGTGCTGGAATCCACTGAGATCAATCCCAAGAGGTAGGTGTGACTTCCTGGGCGTTCTGACCAGCTTTCTTCTGGGGAAAAGAGTGTCGAGGGGCACGGGGGAGGGTGGATGTTTCAGGTAGCCGCGCTGTTGGTTCAGATCCGTCGGCTTGGGCAGGTATCTGAGGTTCGGACAAGAATTCGATAGGATCTTATCAAAGTTCGCGAACCTGCTTTTATATCCATCGAACTGGTGTCCTGCTGGCCCACATGAAGGATCTAACACGATCACTGGGGCCCGTATCGTTTCACCGTCTCTGTTCTCAAGCAGCGCCGTTATTCCGCATAACATTATAAAGATGCCCCCGCCGATTAGGAGAGGTCCGACCAGCCTAAATTGGGGAGGATAATTTATTCCTCGTAGAAGGTATTCATCGTACACGTTATCTGGATAACCTGCTTGGAGGAGCGCGTCTTGTATTCCGCGAATCTGATTGAAATCCGTTGATTCCAGCGTCTTTTGTGTGATGTTGTTTATCATGAGAAATTCAACTTCAAGGAAGTCATAGCTGACCATAGACATCACTGTCCCAGCTCCGAACACGAACAGCCCCAACAGTATCCAAGCCGTGGGTAGGGAACAGATCTTCACTGTACCTTGGTGAATGATAACTGTCCTCGGTCGTCTTTGTTTTCTCCGCCTGGCCCGTGCACGTGCCTCGCGAAGCTTCCGTCGCCTCTCCCTCGCCAGGCGTGTCCCCGCTAGAGCACCGCGGGCTGCGAACATCCTGCCGAACCGCTCTGGATCTTTCTGCAATTTGCATCGTCCGACACACGGCTATTGCGCGTCTCTAAGGGAATAGCAACGTGGGAGAACTCATTCGCTTCTGCCTCGCATACGTCTCAGTTGGCAGGATCGCGCTGATAAGCGTGAAACCCACTTTAATTCTTGAATGATTGGTTCATCTGTATTAGGAGACATTAAGGCTGACACGTTTCTGACACGCATCCTCTTTGGACAAGACAGCATTATCCATCACCACACGTCCCTGAATAAACAACACATGACTTACACGCGTTAGCTCTTTATCTTTCCTGACATCTGCGGAGCAAGGTACAGGTTAAAATCAAGGCGCACTAGGCTGATTCAAAATTAACTATCAAGGGACACTTGAATTCACAAGGCTATCAAAGTTAATGGCTTGGGGACAAATCAAGTCAAGGAGGAGATTAACTTAATGAGATTGCAAAATTACGTGGGCGTCACACAGCAGGAAAATAGCTCACCCAACGAGTCTGCGAGCTGTAAAGCACATCCCGGCAGCAGCCCGGCCGGTGTCCCTGCGATCACTGCGCGATGTGTAGGAATCGGCCGATGTTCGCAGCGCTACTGGGCACCGTGTCCCATCCGACGTGGCAGGTTAGATTTTCAGGCGGAATACTATACATGTATACACCGGACTCTCTGTCGATTTTGGAATTCGGTGACCTTCAAGCGATCAACAGTTCTGCCGAAGGTCGATGGCAGTGTGACGCCGACTTAATGTAGGTTTTTCCAAGGCATTATTTAGAAATCATGACGAAGGAGTTGTGTAATGCGTATCCACGCACATGACCTTCCTTCTTGATAACCAAGTAGGTAGGTCAGCAGGGTACTGTACATTACATTGATATCAGCGAAGCAGGAATTCAACGTTCTTTCGGAAAACTTTTGAACCGATATTATGTAAGATTTTTGCGAATATGAACTGGAAATATAAATAATTGAAATTTTCTCATCTACACTGTCATTTTCAATAACTTTCAACATATTAGCGTCGCTATTTCGCTTTTCCGGCGACTCAGCACAGCGCGAGAATAAGTTGCGCCAGGCCCGCTGTATTTTTAGGAGGCTCCAAAAAAGAATGTTAACAAACAACATGGCCGCAATCCACGCTAGCACCGAGGAGTTGGTAGTTTTACAACACGTTTTTGCGGCGCAACGACGTTGATCCCCAAATATCACTAAGAACCCAGGTAGGCTTATAGATCAAGAAAATGTGTAAAACAGCAATGTTTAAAATATTGAAAATATTACGTACTATCACTTTAAATGTTCCCCTATTGACAATTTGATTAATGGGGCGTATTACAGACTGACGGGTTGTATTAATGGACAATTGATGACCTGCGGTTTTTAAGAAGTCTATTTACACACAAAAACGACCACTGACGCGCCGATGACGTCACGTGATGCCACCTGACGCAGAGAAAAGATGACATATTTGGGGCGCGCTGGATGACAAATTTCTTAGCGGTGCCGGGGACTTCTTTTTCAGTACGTTGCTAACATCTATAGATTTTATAATCTTTTATTGATTGGCCAGGGGCAATTTGACAATTAGTAAATCAGGTAGATATTAGAAACCTAATGCCGATGATGATTAGAACCCTTCGGGCATACCCATTGGCCATTCGGCAGCCAGTCAGCATGTAACTCTGTACTCTGACACAGTCTTATTCCCGTAAACCAAACATTGGTCTGCACTGATGTATTCTATTGGACGAATCGGTATCCACATCACGACGTTAACACCTTTAGGTGCGGTTCTACTTCATTCCGCTGAGTAATAGCGGCGTTTTTGTACCGCAGCGAGTTGAATAAGAACCCACACGGCCTACATGGATGCCACACTCTGGACACACCAAAATTGGACGAAAAAAAAGCAAAAAAGAGATCTAATTTCTAATTCTAACTGATGACAAATAAGTTGAACACACAGTACATGGTATAGTGCTTGTGAACAATACATCATTTATCGTGGGTCTTTCATCAGGTAAGTCGTCTTCAAATTTTAGAAATTATGCATATTTTTCCTTTATTTGCACTCGCATCACTTTTTGTTTGTTCAAAGGATGTCATCCATGAATTATTACGGAATTATTTATGTAATGAGGACGGTTAATCCCAAAATCTATATACAATAGATACATGTAAGTTACATAGTCCTGGAACTCTAGTTTGATTGCCCCCGAGGTCACGGCACTGAATTCCCGACGAGGCGAAGTGGAGCGGAAACCCTTTAGGCCGGCCGGCAAACTTTATGCAAATTGTGTTGTCCTTTGAAAATAGAGACCTCGGAAATGAATGGCGGTGACTGTTCACGGTCCAGTGGTTTGGGGCAAGAAGGGAGTTCGCTGCTCAAAGGTTGGCCAGCGCTATGTCTGGGTTACTAACAGTGGAAAACTGACCCTTACTTCCCCATCACCTACGCTGTAGGGAAAGCGACCCGGTAGAGTGAAGTTTTGTTATGATAGAATTTGTATGCTTGAGATATCTCAAGAACTAGATCGTGTATCTGTATGAATATTTGTGCGTGATCAAGGGCAGAAAGTATTCAATTGGGGCTTTGAGCACTGAGCTGTTGTATTTTTTTTAGAATTTGGAGTTTGATTATTTGTCATTGCCGTCTCCACAACTGTTTTGTGTCTAATCTATATTATATAGTTATATTATATCTATATCTATGTTATAAATTTGCTTGATAACGTAATTCACATAAGTCATTCGCGTAAAATGATAATATTCCATACTATGAAGTACGTATGTAATATGTTGAATAGGTTTAACCTTTGTGATAGGTAGGCGTCATATGCCGAATTATGATCTCATGTGCATGCCTTGTTAGAAACCTCTGCTGTTTCGTCATGTTAGGGGGGGGGATCTTAAAAAAGCTAATTGAAATAGGCACGGTTTTTGGAATTCAAATATTCTCATATAACATATTGCTTGATTCTTCAAGCATTAGAATGTTTGCAAAAACTGGAATGATAGAAAGGTTGTACACATCAAAAATGTGCTTTGACAGATCATTTTACATTACTCATTTCTAGTATTGGCTGTATGTGAAGTCATTTAATCGTGCTATTGGACTGTCGTGAGAAAATGTGAATTGAATTTAACCTCTTTTTTAAGCCTGCTACAAACCGAACACAGCAGTCTGTCTTGAAGCCGCCCTCGCGTGTACCTGCATATTAATTGACGCAGAAAACAAAGCTAAGCCACACAAAGTCTCTCCCGGGGTTCGCAGCTGACAAGAAGGCTAAACACAGTCACAACCCACTGCGCAGAGGCGGTCCTCATTTTCTTCCTCAAAATGGCGGCACTCTGTGGGACTAGTTGGTAAAGGTTACGGGAACTGTGGACGTGGACAGATTTCTAGTGACAGGGTACTTTCGTTTTCACGTAGGAGCGAGCACAGCAGGGGGGATCCGTGTTTTCTACTCTTGTATCTCCACAAGGTAAGAGGGGTCTTCTCAAATGTCTTCTTGATTAACTCCTGGGTACATAAAAGCAGGTAATTACAGCTTTGTTGGAACAGTAACATTGAGAAGTAGTTCTCACGTCCTTGATGAGGTAAAGATGGTCACAGTCAGCCCGAGCGACGCAAGGAAGTGTCTCATACTATTATAAGATAGTTTTGGTCGGCGTAACCGCTTGTTAATTCTGCTCAATGACCTCCGCAAAATATAGATTTTACTAATGTTTGCGTGATAATGTGTGGTTAGGTTGTGTGTTTTTGGTGTGATATAGTGTAGGCATCGTTGTGTATGTGACGTTATGTGTGGGTAGCCTAGGTGTAAGTGTACGTAGAGTGTGTGTGGTGTGTGAAAGTGGGTGGCATGTGTGTAGTGTATATGCTTGTGTACGTGTGTAGCTTACGGACTTATGTGTGGATTTGTCTGATATATGTTGGTTTGAGGTAGGGGCTGACATAATGAATAACCCTTCTGTACAATCCCTAAAAGGGTTATTAATGGGCGCAAACAGGTTTAGCGGACACAATGAGGTTAAAGAGAGACCTCCTTGCTGGAAATAATCCTCCGTGAGAAAGTGTACGTGTAACTGTTACAGAAATGCTAAATATCCCTACAATAGACTAGAGGCTTGTTGTAGGAATGAATATATGAAGAGTCGTTGCTGTATCTGATGCATTGGTAGCATGAGATGAGACGCAGCTTTACAAAAGCCATAGTGATTATCGTGAGAATCTTACTTTCTCCTTTAACGTAACGAGATCAGCAGCCTATCGTACAGCTGGACCCCATCGCGCTGCACGTATGTAATGGTGGTGCCAGGTCACGGCACTGGAATTCAGCCGCCAGCAAGTTGACAAAATGCCTGAAAAATACAGCAGTAGCGCAGGGTCAAAATGTTTCCTGACAACAAAGTAGCTCAGCAAGACATGCTCTCCGTTTTCACAGATCTGTGCTTTGGCCAAAATTCATTTTCATAGCCAGGACATTCTGCTGGAAAAAAAAATTAAAAATGGCTTTCTTTCAGAATGTGTAGGTGTGTACTAGTCATATGATTTTCGTTTGTAATAATAGCGTATGTAACATTAGTAACGATGAATACGTTAACGTTATCCTGAATAAGGACGTAATTTGCATAGTTTATTATACAATGTTCGTGTAATGACTCTAATCTATAAACTGTCACATGCGTAAATTCTGTCACGATGGATAATGTAAGATTCAACTTATGCAAATTAGGGCGTATATGAGTAGAAATTCGTCATTTTTAAGATTTTAGCTTGTAAAGGATGGCCTCTGTACAATTTAATCAGACTACTACAACCAGCTTTAGCTGTTTTTTTTTAAGAAATTAAGCAAACAACACCATCAATCGAAAGAGGCATGGGTTCGCATGGCTTTAATTTGTTTTGTCTCTTGGTTTCATAATTACCTTTCTACTGTGAAAGGCACCGGCGCTTTAAGATGTGGTAAAGATGTGGTAGAGTAGGGTTTCAGGTTGAAAGGGCCAGGTAGAATGTGAAGAAATTAAATTTGACCGTGGCCAAAAATTAGTCTTTCCTTGGTGCATTGAAACATAACATGTAAATATACCAAGAACGCTTTCATATCAAAAGGGCATTGAACTTTGAGTCAGCAATGATGATAGGACTGTTTATTCATATCGCTTTAATAATTCATAATGTTGTATTTATCTTCTCCATAAACGTAATGAATGCCAGAATTCCGACGTACCTATTACATGTATCACTACTGAGGAACATTTACCCCTGGGAGAAGCGGATGCTGCATAATTCATGACACGGCCCGATGTAAATAATTGCAACCTTCCGTGTCCGAAAGGTTGATTGATGTTTTGAGGTATGCACCTTGGTAGGCCCGGAGTGTTTGCCGCGGTTGTTAGGCGAGTCTTACACGAAAGGGCACGGACTATCGAATGTCAGGTTCACGAGACAGATAGTGTGTTTTAGGACCATAATATTTGAGTCTTGCAGTTGGCTACTCTGTGTCGTTGCTGCTTATTCGCTCTGCTCATAAAAGGGCCACAGTTGTAAAAATTCAGGTAAGACCAGCTCAATAATATCTATTTTTTCGTCAGAGGAAACGTCGAGGTAATCCTACCATAATTGCGTATGTGCGTGGACAGAAAAAAAGAACGATTTTTGTGATTGATTTGTGTACATTATTTAGAATTTATAGTCCCGTGGATGCCCATTTGGTTCGCTTGATATTTGAATAGATGGAAAAGATAGAAATAGATGGGCCGTGAGTATGTGCCTGTATGCATGGTTGGCGTCAGGAGATGATAGATAAAGAGGTTGAGCCCCGAGGCGTTTTAAAAATTTCTTTCTATACAGCTGCTTCAATAATTTTCCATCATCTTCTGAAACGTCATAACAGATTCCCATCTGACGCATCTGAGTGACGCATCTGAGTTCGAACCTTTTGTCGCCTCTGAAAGAGTCAATTGATAAGCAGAAGAGTTCTATTTCTTCAAAAGATGGTTTAAATGTTCGTGAAAAGAAATCAAAATTTGTCAACATCATCTTAGTTCAAGTTCATAGCGGGAGGTAGCCGCCTCCCCCGCACCTCCCTAAACATCAAACACTTCTCGGAAGTCTCTTTCAAAGCACGTGAAGGGTCTGTATTGATTACCTCACGTTTGTGTAACCTTACGTGCCGTGCCGACAGTAGACAGGGTCATTCAACGGTTTCACAAGTATTGGATGTCGCCTTGGTTTATTTACATTACTCTTGGTTTCCATAGATTCGCGAAAGTGATATAGGGTTGGACCAGCGGAGGGTGGTACTGACGCAACCCGACCCACATTCGCACGGGCGTCCTGCGGCTGACGACAGGAACTTCCTTGTGAACCAAGAAAACTTCCTTGTGAATCGGATCGAGACACTGAACTTCAGCAGCCCAGAGTTACTGCTGTTGGAGCTACGATGGCGGGGAACTCGTGTATCAAGTGCTGGTTCATCTTCGTCAACTCCCTCTTCCTGGTGAGTGGCCTCATTCTTCGATCTTACTCGATGGCATTTTCCTGTTTGCAAAGACAGGCCATACTTTTTCAAAGGTTTCCACAGACATAGAAGGCTCTAGACACGTATTTTAGACCAGGAGGTGGAAAAGTGTACGTGTATTCCGTACGTAATTAGGTCTTTCTGACCAAGTGTTTCACCTTGACCATCGTTGTAAAACGAGACAAACGTGTGTTACGCTCTAGAGGTTGGCAACAATCCGTGTCAATGGCTTTATTTCAATCTTCTTGACAAGACGACTGAGTGGCATGTTTTTCCCTTCCTGGGCTACATGAACAAGACCAATATTCCATCACCTTCTGTTAACATGGTCTAAAAAGGGGAAGGAAATTTTCCCGACCAGCCTCGTAACCCCTGCTTCTCCTATTGGATCAGTTAGTCCTCACTGGGCCATGTTGATTTGATTATATGGATGACATCCTCCGGGAGCCCCAAAACTGATGCGCGCGTGCGAATAAAAAAAAAGTTTTGCCAAAAAAAAAAGTTTTTTTCATTATGAAATCTACGTGGTCATGAGGGTTGAGCAAATGGCACAGAATATGGTTTGGCGAATAATGTAGTCTTCAAGTTCATTTCTTTACAATTTCGTCTTTATTCGTTTGATTTTGGCATTCTACGACATTGGTATAATTTTTATTAATTTTTTTTGTAACTTATGGTATATTTTTGCTCATTTTGCAACTGTTTTGTACGATTTACAGTATGGTTGAAAACTTTTTTTTTTTTTTGGAAACGGCCGAAAATTCATGCGCGCGCGGATGTCATCCATATAATCAAATCAACATGGCCCTACTGAGAAATTGGGCTGGTCTCAATCATGATGTTTCTGACTCAGGGAGAAGAGTTGCTGTTACAGTTCTATACCTCTAGCTCTATGCCTAGAACTTAGTAGAAGTGGCCAAAAATAATTGGCCTTGCATTGAGCGACACCGTTAAAAAAAACATTGAACATGTGCCGTGTATGGGAAACCTCACGCGTCAAACTTGAAACGTTGGAGTACCCGACACACTTTGCCTTTGAAAAGATAAGCTTTGACCCAGAATGCTCGGCCGAATTCTAAGGGACGTCACAGACTCATGTTTATGCCCAAATCTTCTGTTCATTTCGTAATTCTCCGATAACCATGGCTTGTTTATCAATTATACATATTGAAAACCACAAATTGTCTGTCGGTATTAACAGAATAATTATTTGTAATACCTTGAATCACGCACGAAGTGACCGTCAGAAACAAACTGAAACACATAGAAAAGAACAGTCGTGTGCCAAGTCGCGGTTACAATGTTGTTTATTACAGTGGTTTTGGAAAAGTTACTATACATGTAATAAGAACATTTGTGTTCATCTTCCTTGTGCGAATGTAGAGCACTAGTATCACACATGTTGATCAGCCACTTTGATCAGTCATTTGGTGTGGAGTACTGGTGTTTATGCTGTACCCTCATGTAATGACCCTCTTGACAATTACAACAAAACAAAACCTTCAAGAGCTAACATGGAGAAGTTTTAAATGGATGACTTCGCTTTTCCACTTCCAATACTGGTAGGAAAACAACGTCTGGTCACGCACACTTGCGTGATGAATTTCACCACTTCTGGCGTCATACGAGAATGGCAAGGCCACGACAAAAGAAAAACAGACAGCCAGCAAACACTTCATGACATTTCTACCCACCCCTGGTGTCACATCTACTAACGTACACGTGGTTTTGTGACAATGTTTCCGTCTTGATATCTAAGACGAAGTTACGAGGTCACAATGTTCAAGTTGTACAATGTTCTGTATATCCCCATCAGGCTATCGGCGTCGCTGTGCTGGGAATAGGGATCTGGATGCTGGTGGACAAGACGACTTCCGTCCCGGGATTGGACACCATTATCGGCTACTTCAGGGCAAATGCCGTGCGTAAAACTGTTTTGCTATAGTTATCCCTGACCTTCATGTACTTTTAATGGCGAGGTCATAAACGACGTGGAGGCTTTCATCAATTCCTGGCATTTACCAAAAGGCAACCATGCCAAAGCCCATACGTATTTATATAAATACTTTTGTTACATCAATTCTATAAAAGATTAATCCAGCAGTGAATGTAGAGAAAGTAACGGTTTGAAAAATAATGGATTGTTATGTGTCTGACCGCCTGTCTGTAGAACTTGTTCTATGGAGGGTACAAGGGCTTTTACTAATGTCACTTGCCAGGCGTAAGGCGACCGATGCATGATATGATCCGAACAAAATACTTGTCATCCATTGCAAAATTAGTCTGCTCTTTGACCGTGTTTCGTCCTAGGGATGTCTGTTTTGCTGTTGTCGTTGAAGTATCAGCAAGTCTCGATCTGTCCTATCTGGCAATATCGAAACACTGACTTGTTCATGTCATGAATTTTCCCCAGATCCTGACGTACATCTCCATGGCACTGGGCGGGCTCATGTTTCTGGTCGGTAAGTGCGAGTCATTCCCTCTCATCGGTTTGTAAAGTAGGATTTCTGTGAAGATGCTGAAACCTGGACCAACATCAAAGGTCATGAAAAATTTGTTGACTAACGGAAGCATAAATACGTAACTGCAGAAACGATATCTAACCAACGTTTGCTGAATGCGCCTTTCTGCCTTTTCTGTTGCAAGTGTGCTCGTGACATGAAACATGTATGTACCAAATGCGTCATGTTTTTGCCCCAGGGCCCTTTCAAAACCGTGTCGATACGTGTTCCCTGCTGATAAAATAACAAATAAACTGAATGTTTTCCATGCAGGTCTGATTGGCACCATCGGTGGATGTAAGGACAGCACGTGCCTTCTCAAACTGGTTAGTGTCTCGACATGTCCATCCTACAGTAATAGGTATTTAAACACACGCTATAGGTTCCAGTGAGGTAGGAGTGTTTGGATGTGTTAATCAACTCAAACAGCGTCGCCATTATGGTCCGTGACTTCACCAGGTTATACTGGTTGCAAAGCATCTTGAACTCGCTAGGTTTACTTAACAGGTTTCAACAGTGACTGGTACAGCTTAAACTTGAAGATATCGTTTTGGGTAGATTTGTTTCATTGAAATGTGCATCATTTCCTTGCAGAATACAGCGGTATGCGCACAATATACAGCGTATATGCTTGAATTATTGCGTTATGCGGCGCTGGGTTGATGACGTAAAGGTTCCGGTTGGTTTCGGGAGGTTTCAGTTTCAGTCTGCCCGGGGCTAGGATGTTCCAGTCCAAAAGTTCCCAAATTAGATTTTGAGTTGTTTTTCCATGAGAGAGTGCGGTACCAAAGAAGATTAAGTGAAGAAAAAACTCTTGACTGATGTTCTCAGTCGATCTTAGTGACGATTAATTCATCATACATGTACATGCAACACTAACTAGTGAAACACTAACTAGTGCAGCGCTAACTAGTGCACCATGTGTTCTTTAACTTTGAACTTCTTCTTGTTTCCCTCCTAGTTCTTGTCGATTGCCATCCTGCTGTTCCTCGTCCAGATCGCCATTGTTGTCATCCTAGCGGTGCCCCAGATCCTGACACTGGTGAGTACACATGGTATAACTTGTCAACTGTGTACGGCTAATGACATATTGTCCACTGAGATACAGGAAAGTTCAAGGACATGTCTAGATCTACCTGTGCATCAGAAAATAGAAACTGAATGTTGGAAAATGTAAGCAATGATGCACAAAGGGACATCTATTTTAAACCTGTGCACTGAACGCTGTATTATGTTTTGGTAACGGTAACCGGCTGTTTGGTTTGTACATTCATCCGATTTCTGTCTTCTTTGTACGTTGAGACAAAGCATTCCGATATATGATCCGGTGCTAAACGAACTGATCTCCTTGTTCCATGCAATCTTTTGTGTTGTGTAGTATGTGAGTATCCCCTCCGTTCCTCTTTCAAAGGCTATCCAACAAGCTTGGTCGCAGTTCTTTCTCCGATTTTACCCTCGACATGATCCCACATCTCATTAAATGTACATGTCAATCACATTGATACTTTAGGACCTAAACTTGTGCGATGTTTTAAAAAAATCGTTGGCTCATTGCTGTGTTAATTATCTCTCTCGACAGCTGCTCCCCTACTTCAAGGTGGGTTGGCATACGCCAGCAAACGAAGTGACGAGAGATCTCATCCAAAATCAGGCAAGAGCCTTTCATTTTTACATTGAGTTAAACATTTCTATCAGTTCACATAGATACTTATATGTATGATTGATTGATTGATTCCTTATGTAAACACCCATTTGTGAGCAGGATTAAAAAAAAAAACATTACAACGTTGATTTTTGTTGGGACCCGTTCTAGTCCCAGTTCATGTTTAGTTCAAAGATTTGAAGACACGGTTCACGGTTTTAGTTTTGCCAAAGATGTTGTTTTTTGTTTCAACTATTCCAATGGATTTAACTTATTAGACCATCAAATGTCCCTCATCCTTATTGTACTTACCATTGAAGAAAGGTTACAAGAAGTAGGAATGATCATATTGGCAGCTAAGATTCGAGACGTCGTTTTGTTTTACACAGCTGCAATGCTGTGGATTCGACGGTGCCAGCGAGTACGGACAGACGATTCCTAATTCCTGCCTCAACATCACGGTCACTGTTGCCACAACCGCCATCCCTGTAGGGCTTGCCACAACCCCTGGTACAGGCACACCTGCCTCTACACCCATCCTCATTGTGGCGCCAACAACCGACCAACCCTCTAATGTATACCCTGTAAGTGAATCTGTAACGGTCTTATGAGACTATATATCCTTTCCTCACATATCAATATTCTTACATATTTCAAATAGGCCAATTGATTCGACTTTTCATGGAGAAACTTGTGTGTATGAGAACTATGATTATTCTAATCTCTCCAGATACGTAGACGGACGACAGTGCAACACACATGATGAAACAGGTTTTGTTCTATGTGCTCCTTTTTTTTAGGATGGATGCTACAGCAAACTGAGCGCCTGGTTCCACTCCATCGCCATGTACTTCTACATAGCGGCGGGAGTCCTGCTCGCGCTAGAGGTACGTTTGAAAGGTTGTGAGAGTGTTAGTGTTTGTTGGAGTAACGTTAGTAAAGAGGGAGAAGCATCAATTCATCGCGGGACAGGAGAGAAGAATGAAATCTAAACTAAGCTGAGAGAAGGAACGTTGACGTTTTGAAGGGTATGTAGGAGGGATGACAGGCTGCAGAGAAAATAAGTTGCAAGAGAGAAGTGCGTACCGAATTGCTGAGATGCGGTGAAAATTGAGGGGCAGAATGATGTGCACTTTGAAATGTTTCAAGTATCTTTTTGGTTGATTCCTTCAGCCTTGTTGCACCTAACAGCCCGGTCTTCAATACGCAGTCCGGTCTTACGCAGCTTATACGCGCTGTACAAAACGCATGTGCTACGCCTAAAGGCGGTTTACCGGTTATGCGAAACAAACAAATCTGTAGTACGAATACAAAATGCTTGAATGTAATTTCCCCTTTGTAGCTGTGGCAGATGATCTCCGTCTGCTGCCTGAACAGCGCCATTAACAACGAGCGGAAGGTGGGCGACACTCCCATGCAGATGTACCCGCCCTCAGGCCGCAACAGTAAGTAGTGGATTGAAGATTCACTAGGGTTACAATTAAATTCCTTGACTTGTGTCTTGAATTGCTGTCCTGTCATAGCGTTTAGATTAAGCATCTTTGATTGTCTGATGTCATGAATGCGAGCACTTCTGATTACTAGTATTGACATTGCTTGCTCACATTTCAGGACCAAATTATAACCGACCGATGTATTAGACAGCTACCAGCAACAGCACCCAGAACGTCATTCCTGATGATAAGAAGGACACCATAGAACGCCGTGCTGGTGATGTTGCTGAAAGTGTTTAACTGTTTATTTATCATGAGACACACACGGCCCGCCTTTAACAGTGTAAAATACGAAAGTGAAAGAGCGCTAGCTTCAAGATTATTCAGTCGGCAACGGAATAATTTTCCTCTGTTGAGAGGTAATGGCAAACGTGTATTAATGGGTTGGTAAAGTGAAACAGGGTACATAAACCACCATCATCAAATGATCATAGAAAAGTTGCAAAGAAGTTAACCAGTCACTCACGTTTTCTATGTACAAACACCAGCGCGGTACCTAATACTCCAGGTAAAGATGACTTGTGTAGTATATACCTGATTGATGTTGCATAAAAGACTTCTTCCCAAGAGAGAAGAGAATACAGACTTTGTGACTGCCGATGCATTATATGCTTGTCATGCTGTAAAGCGTTCCTATTTTGAAGTTTAGCTTGTAGGTGATTGATTTAAGAAAGCTGCGCCTTGATTATGAAGATGCGAAAGAACATTATATAGTGATGTTTCCTTTGAATTAAATAACTTCGCTAGATCTACATCTATCGTCTGTACATATTCATAAAAAAAATATTCTATAAGCACAAATGTATATAAGAGGCATTTAAGTACTAGTATATCGACGTTTTATTTGTTGCGGAAATACAGTTCTTGTGTGTGTCGCCACTTTGAGCTGGCGCTTTTGTAGAATACTATCTGGAGTTCCAGCTGTAACCAAGTTGTTTTATGGTTCTTGGAACCATCCTACTGTGACAGGTACAATTGTGTATGACCATAATTATATAATATCTTGTCACATTGATATACATCACTGGTGCCCTGTGATTGTTATATAGTTGCTACATTTTGCCATGTGAAGCTTGCGCATGAATATGTCTTGTGTTCAAATACATGGATTGAATGCAATAACATCGTCATTACCATTTATGTGTTGTAACCATTCATGAGATAGCTTTTCTTTAAAAATTTATAATTAAGCTTTGACAGTTGAGAAATATCATCATTGGTTCTGGGATACTAGGGTTCATAAGTACATGTAACAATGATATAAATCAGGTAAATCAAATGTTTTCAATTTAAAACTGTGGCTTTCTCAAAGAAATAGTTCTACTGTGATGAATCAACATTTTAGACATAACAGGCCGTCTGAGAACAGACCGTCTCAGTACAAATTTAACATTGACCTTCACCGGAACCGAGTAGGGCCAAATGTAACTTGATAGCCCAGTCGGACGATAGAATGTGATCCCATCGTGTTGGGAATAGTTGTCTGGAGAGGGGTGCACCGATCAGCATCCCCTTCCGTCTTTTTAGTGTACGCTGATTGGTCATTTCCTGAATTACATTGTTGTCTGGAAAACGCACCGATGTCACTTCGACATCATCCCAGGACAGTGCAACAGCGGTCCGTACGGAGATGACCGGAGATTGCCCTGGCGTATGGTGCACTGGCGGGGAATAGAAGGTACCACATGATTTCCATCAATAGTATTTTTGAATGGCTTTATGATCCTTTATGCGTAAATGACTACACGTATGTATATACATTATACACATATCTGTGTGCGTGTATTTGTGTGTGTGTGTGTGCGTGACGGCGATTGTCTGCATGTTGTCTGAGTGGCCATGTTACAGCATCAAAACAGAAATAGAGAATCGGACATCCCGTAGATGAAAATATGTGCACTGGGAAGTGTCAGTCACCGGGACTAGTAAGAATTCTGAGTTTAAGTCATGGTTCAAGCACGAGTGTTATTATGGAATGGGAGCACTTCTTTTCAGTCAGTTGAGTGTATACATTGCATTTCTAAACTAATACCGTGGAACGCCACCGCGGCCGTTAGTACATTTTTCTCAGCCGAGTCGGTTGTCCTAGCTTTAAACCGACACGATGTAGATATTTCCTAGACAAGGGAATATACTTGAACTACATGTATTATTACTTGACACTGACCAGGCAGATAACGTTACAGGCTTCCAGACGGCTCTGACCCATAACCGTGACGGCACGTTTTCGGAGCGCCACGTATTTTCAAATGGCCTGGCGTCAAAGATAGTATATCATTATAAAGTGAGGAAGGCCAATAATTCAGTCAAAAATTCGCTATTGGGTCAATGGTTGAAACTCAAACAATTGATATCTTGCTCTGTCCACTAACAAATGAATTAATTCGCAAGCCCACGAACAGCGGCCCTGAAACACAGCAACCTTTTGGGAGAGTTTTAAGAAATAGCAGAAGCACTTCGACAGCGCTATGCTACATGTTTGCCCCTAACGCATTCTTAACGATGTTAAACATGATAAGTTTGTGCAATCACACTCACGGCCGTCACGTGAACATGACGAAACTTTCGGAGACGTATTGTTACTGCGGGGGTCACTGTTTATATACCAAATTTATCTTTCAGCTAATAGAATTTCAAACATCGTCATGGGGGGTACATTGTACTTTTATAAGATAAGAAAGCAAGGTTTGATGTTTGAGTATTTAAAAAGGGGACGAAGTGCTCGGTGTTGAATTTTGTGCGAAATGATGTTTGCAGGTAGCTTGTTATGGCATCAGTGCTGATTGCAAGTATACTTCATGCTTTACACATGATACACATTTACACTAATTTTAAAGTGACTGTAAACTGTTTCTGTAAGTTAACTGGTAACCTCACGTTACTTAGTAATGCTAACGTTACGGTGGTGATATCATGTCTGAATGCTTGAATTATCGCCCGTGGATTAATGATTTACTAACTTTGTCTCTGTTTACGTTTCAGTGGTTGCTCAGAACCAAGTCTATGTGATTGGGCAGAGCTAAGTGTACGACAAGACTTAGATAAGCCGCAGGGTGGGAGAATGGGAGATAACGTAAAGGACGTCTCGCATTGGGTCTCGCTTCTCGGCAAGGAGCAGAAAATATGTAATATTGATAGCAGGAAGTCGAAAACCACCAGGTTGGACGTGTCCGAGGACGGCTCACCTGCCAAAACACAGAACAAGGCGCTATTATGTGACGTGTCTGTAACGCTTGGGAACAGACGACCGACACCGGACCAGGCAGAGGAAGGGCGCGGCCAACACAGCCAGAGTTTTACACAGCGGATAGGGCGCAGCGATTTGGATACGGAGAATGCATCAGACATTAAAAGGTCACCACTCAATGATAAGTCAGTGGAATGGCGACAGACGACTAGATACGCGGTTCTGCACCAGACCACTTCCAGGGCAGGTAGTACAGGTATAAGTATCCCACTGCCGAGAAAATCGACTGCCGCTACGGTAGATTGGTTGGAGGACTTGACGTTGTCGTTGAAGAAGGAAAACGGGACTTCCATGGAAAAGGGAAGTGAGCCTTTACAGACGCAAAACATGTCTGACCAAACAAACATTAGCACGACGCCGCACGTGAATTGTCAGGTTGCTACGACAGGTGAAAGTAAACGTACTTTGGAAGAGACTATGGACGGCAAACAACAGGGGGAAAGAACAAACGTCGACCAGAATGTCCCCGAGGTCATTTTGGCGTTCACAGAGTTTAAGGAAAGGGGTGCACGACTAGAAAAACAGCTGCGGTGGCTTAGACAAGAAATTGTGAGTATTGGTCCTATATACATGTACATGTATATTGTACATGTGTATACATAATACACAGTGTACTTTCTCAAATGATTGCTATAATGCCCTTGGATTGTCACGTACTTGTACCTCATAACAGTAAGCCAGGTGTTTGGTGTTTAAAGTCACGAACAACGGAGCTTAGCTATACCTCTTCATAGCGCTGTCGTAATGCCTTTACAACTTGTGGCGTGGCACTGTATCTAGTTTCCATCATTCAAAATACCCCCCTTTGCTCCCAAAGGCCTTGAAAGCCCTGGCAACTTGATTGCAGGGCGGTAGTTTGGCAAGTCCCTTGACCGACTCTCCAAATATTTACACGGCAATAATTCCTGGGTTGTTGTAAAAGTCGAGGCGGATGCTGTACTGGTAGGATCAGGTACAACAACGTAAACTAGTGAACCAATACGTATGTTGTAAATCATGTTCTTTGAAGTGCTCAAGTAACGGTATGTACTTCTGATATGCGCTAAAAGGCAGCTGTGTAAAGGTTAAAAGCACTGAGACGCGGACGGTCAATAAAGTGTGACATGGGTCAGGTTTTCTCAGTGAGTGAGTGAGCCCCGGCCTTCGGGCATGCAATTCGGTGAGCATGACTAAACTAAGTTTAACATGTCGTCCTGTTCTTCGAATTCAGTATGATGGTCTACATTTTTACCCGGGCATGACTACCAAGGAATAGAAATGGATATTTGTGCCGGATCTTCTCTGTTAATCATGGACGAAAATAGATTTTCGCCCCTACATCAGATAATTACCTACATCAAAGATTGATCATTAAGTATGACAATTGTCTAAAATACGCATATACGACATGTACGAGTGACATGTACATTTGTAGTTACCATCTTTACCATATACGAGTATCATGTAGTTGCCGCCTTTGCCATTTACATTGCTGCCCAGAGTCAAAGAGATGCACCCCGAATATTGTGTGCATTCTGGATTAGAGTACCCGGAGAACGCTGTTGATGTCTTTCTCATAACCAGGTACAGTAATCAACACATCATCCATCTTCAACTAACCTAGAATATGAGCTAATGAGTTTCATGTTTTATTTCCCGTTACTCTCTGCCAGATGGACCTGAAAGAGCAAGACCAATCACTGATGAGGCAGTTCCTGGACTTGCGCAGTAGCATTCATCAACTGATTGAAGAGAGGTGAGGTGTGGTAGCGGATTTGTCCAGTCTTTTGGTGGAAAGTAGAACAAAAGAGGGTGAAAGAAAGTCTTAAGGAAACGAAAAGAGTAGCACTAACGCTTGCCTTCTATATAGTTGCTCTTGAGACTGTTTATCATATCACTTTCAATATATCATATAACGTTGTTATATAGAATGAATTAGTCGATAAATGACACACTGATGACCAATGACATCACGTTAGCAGGGTCCATAGGTAAGGTGTGTCCTGCTGTATTCATATATAACATATGTTACGAAAATAACAGATTGAAATGTTTTTCCTCAGTTTGAAGGTTCCGAAGAACTCCGCGTCCCTCCTGTCGCTGTCGTCCCAGCCGGACCTGCGGGAGAGCTGCCTGTCACTGGACGAGGCGTACGGCTCCTCCTCACCAGGTAAGTCCATCGTCGTTTGCCACACTGGGCAGCTTCAAAATCAGATACTAGACTAAAATGTGATGTTTGTTTCCATTAATCTTGAGTCCATTAACGAGTAAGGGTCGTTTTAGATGATAGATGTTAAACAAAAATTGGACACCAAAAGCAACAATGGGAAACCTTTTTCCCGGCTTCAAGTTGTCAAATCTAGATGTCTGTTCCGCATATGATTTCAAAGGTCTTAAAAATCCTTCGCTCTACAGTCTGGCCTAATCTAAGTAACGAGGAGGACTACCTGCCGCCCTACCGGCCCCGGTCAGCTACAGGCCCAAGCGCCCTGGGCTGGACACCGCCCCTGTCGCGCCTCAGGCTCAGCCGGGAGGAGAGCGGGGAGCGGGAGTCCTTCTTCTAACCGTGCCACACGACTGCCGGGGTTGTCCTGGTTCTGCCTGTGGTGAAAGTAATAGCGGACAGCTTGCCAGGTTTATAAACACCACCATGTCACCGTTCTGACGGCTTGGCAGCAAATAAAGAGAAGACTTATTGGTACGCCCTATACCACTCAGCTGTCGTCCTGGCAACATTGATTGAGCCGTATTGAACGACGTAGGTGGGTGCATGAGGAGAAAGTGTAAATAAGTGCATTTGCATTAATCTGCCGTTAATAACGTTCACATTCTGAGACAATATATCATGGCGAGCAACACAATTCACAAGTAAGAGCTACCTCTACCTGTTAGCTACTTATGGGGCAAACTTACAAGCACCATTATGTATATATCAACTTGTGTATGTGTGTAAATTTGTACTATTGTTGCAATGGTTTAGGGGTTGTCAATATATTGCAATGAATTTTTTCCAGTCAGTTACATTTTTCCATGTCTCCAGGCACCACAGTTAGCAATGGTAACAGCTATGCCATGAAGCACCAATCACATGCAATCAGATTTAATTGTAGCCATACAGGTGATTTATTACATGTTCCCTTGTGCTATTCTCTCTTAGTAAATACAAAAGACATCACCAATGAACAGTACTAAATGCATGGACAATGTCTTGTGTCAATAGGTGCAAATACTGTATTTCAACTTCTGTTCTAAGCAAACAATATACAAATATATATATCATATTCAGCTACGACTGTAATAATAAATCAAATATACATAAAACCACTAAATTCTCTATCCCACTTCTTATAAATACATGTCCATATGGATATCATATACCAGTGCCAAAATAACATTCACCAATATAATAAATATATATATATAATGTTATATATATATATATATATGACAAAAACTAACATTAGCCAAACATACTGCATGTAAACAGTCTCTAAACGTTGAATAACAAGATTCACGATTTGGACCTTATAGAACCTAAACTTTCTTCCTGGTTGGTCTTGAACAGAAACCAAACATAGCAGCACCATATACAGCTAACAAAGTACACATACCAGTAAGGTTATGTATGTGTGTACAACACTTAAATGAACATTTGTACAAATGTAGTTGTGCCTAAAGAGAAATACTAGGAGTATGCAACATAAAGATCTGCAACTTTAACTAACATCCCTCAGATACCACAGTGACTATTCTTAAAAAAAAACTACAAGACCACAAATCCTTGACATTCCCAATTACCATAACAGCTGAGGCCAAATGGCAGTCAACAGTTAGTATTATAGTCAAGTATTTTTGTTGACAGCTGACTTCGTCAACAATTGTTGATACATTTGTAGATAAAAACAACTCATCACCCAGCCAATCTACTAGAGTGTACATTTTGGGTACATGTATGTGCTCTATACATGCAACTCCAGAAGTAGGGATTTACAACCCCCTTGTACATGTATTGCAAATACCCATTACCTCACCATTAATAATGAACTTGTGCTTCAGTGACATTGCTTGTGGAAACCACTGCTGCAGCATATCTTCCACCAGGTCCTGGGGAGTGCCTCATGCAATAACCTTCCTAGTGACAAACTAGCTGCAGAATCAAGGGCAAGTCTAAGGCCACAACATTTCAATTTTTTTCTGATGATGATCTCTATGACAAAGAACAACCAACTGATACAGTATCACATTTCCTTCATTGTTAAGACGTTATCACTGTTAAGATGAAGGTATTTTTCATGTTTGTTGGAATGTTTTTGTCCATGTTAAAATCTTTTGTCTACACTTCACTTTAGGGCAGGAAAATGAACTCTGAGATGTTTCTTGTAATGTCTGTTTAGACAAATTCAGTCTTTTCACTGGACCTCCCTTGTCTTGTAAAGAGTGGGTGGAGAACATAACGCTGGATCAATGCATCCATTTTCAGCTGGTTTTTACTGTATGTTGACAACAGAATTCCTGCAGTGACCAGCAGCGCTGACCACACATATCTGGGGAAACAAAGAAACAACCACAATATCAGATTAGCCTACATATCACGTTTGACATTTCAGGGGAGTTCAGGAATCCAGAAAGGGTAATATACATAACAAATACAGCAATTAGTCTCTGCATTGTACATTTTGTACACAAGTTTATGCCCATACTGAATGGGGTTTACACTTTGACATACTTAAGATATCAGACTTTGTGTACTTTGTACTTACTGCATAGTGAATGGCTTGGTGAAGAAGATGAAGCTCAGGATGATAGTAACTGCCTTCCGACAGGTTGTTACTGGCAGAAAAAAGACAGTACAGAGAAATTTCAACATTGAGATGATCAGATGTAAATCACCGATTAATAAACCATCTGGACTTAGCATGGCCAAGGGGATTGTATGTAGGCCCTAGTAATATGTCTGATAACAATCAGTTCCCCATTGTTGCTACATTTTCGTATCAATGAAAAGCCTGTTCAGTTCTCTGCATACCTGTTACAGCTGGTAAAGCTCCAAATGACTTGACCAGGGTGAGCACAAAGTTGATCCCCACGTAGCCGGTAACTGACAGGGCTGCTGCTAGCCCATAGGTGTAGCCTGGGTACTGCAGGGGGGCAAGACAACAAAACACCAATTTAGCCACTCTGTACGGCATTTCAAATCAATTCCAACATGACAAAGTCTTTCAATTATTTCAAAGAGATTTAGCATCAAAGCTTAATATATTATATGTTGCCAATCTGTGATAAACAGTTACAGTAATAGTTGGAGATGTACTGACAAACTGTACAATGGACGACCTTTACATAAGGACCACATGGCCAATGGTGATTCCTTAGATAATTGTTCCCATTCACACAAGACTCCTGACAATAAAAACCACCTGTCCACATATACAAGACTTTATTGGCCTTGAGTGGTCTTACAAAGGCAGTTTGTACCTGTGCACAGAAGCGGATTGGCTCCAGGAGTTCTCCTGACACCAGCAATCCCACCAAGATGTAAACAAACCCTACACTATAGGAGTACAGCACCTGTGGGGAAACAAGTTTAATCATACATAGTTTTATAATAATAAAAGCAGTATTTTCATCAACAGCAGACAGTAAATGAGGGTAAGGTGTGACAAACATCAATCTACAACATCTACTGATTGTTGCTAAAGAAAAGATGAAACAGAGCAAAAGCAAGATTTTTTTTCATCTCCTTGTACAACACAAAAACACATGAAGATATTTGACGGTTCAGGCAAACTCATGATGGATGTTTACCTACCACCTCAGTGTTGGATGCACTGTGTGCCTTCATGGTCTTTTCCTGCACATTTCCAATTACTGCATCTGCCACCAGCGCTAGGGAGATCAGCACCACACCTGCAGTAGTGACAAATACACATTGTCAGACATTCACGTTGAACACGAATCAAACCAGTAGAAATCAGTCTTATAACTCCTACAATATATCATTGCTTTATGTGTACAATGTACATGTACTGTAATCTACATTGTCTATATACTGACCATGGGTGTCAAAATTGGGCTGCACCTCCACATCAGCCAGAGTGAAGAAAATCAAACCAAACGTCATGCAGAGACAGGCCGTCACGTCAATCATTCCATACCTTTTACCTGTAAAAAAAGGTATCCAAAGTGTGATTCATAAGAATTAATACAAAGTGTCAAGATTTGTCTGCATGCAAAATTGTCCTTTTTTTATTAATCATACATACAATCCCTCTAAAATGGTTGCAAGTGGGTATTTGATCTCTAACCAATACACCAAATATGAGAAGAAAAGTTTGTTCAGAATGTAATTCGATACCTTGTATGAGCACCCCTCCAATCATGACAGGTATGAGTTTGCAGCATTTAAAAATGACTTGGGTGGGGTAGTTCAGATAACCCACTGCAGAGTTGGACAGGCCCATGGTAGCCACTGTCAGAAAGGCCAGACCACAGTAGGTTTTCATGGGAATTCTGTGAAAATAAAAATTGCCGGTAGTATTATAACTGTAATATAAGAGAGATCAATTTCAAGCAACTTAAAAGATTTAAGATAATGAAATTCACAGGCATGGATAATGGCATTGTGCACAAATTACCCTGTACTTTGATAGTTACATTTTGTACTGGCAAAAAATACCTGGGTATATAATAATATCATAGAACCAATATTCCGGTAAAATCCAAGGTTTACTGTTGCCAGGAAAAAGTCTGGAGCAAAATGTTTTACCTTCTTGTCTTGTCTGCCTTGAACTGCAGTTCTCCAGCACCAAAGACAGAGTAGAAGGCAAACTGCACAAGTGTGAGGTACCAACCAAAGGGCTTAAATCCCTCCAGCCTAAAGATCAGCTCCTGTCAACATGAAATAAGCAAAATAATTACATTAACTAGTTGTAACTACAAGTGGTAATGTTTAACAGTAATACTAGTAGATTGTATTAGTACTATTACCAACAAAGAAGTAAAACCAATGATCATATCTCCATTTTACTTTATCACTGAAAAGTTTGTTTATACTACATTCTTTCACAATACTGTTTGCTCATGACAATGCCAGCTTTTGAACAAAAAGTGAGAAAAAGGAGCCAGCTTCATTAAGGCCACCATTCGTCAGAAAGAAAAAAACACATACTTACCAACACATAGCCATACATGAGATAGAAGAAGAAGACTCCGCCCACACAGACCAAGAACTGCCCAGCTCTTGGCAGGCCACTAAGGGATACTCCAAGGACTCTGATTTCATCAGGCTGCTTTTCTCCAGCCGGCTTGACGGAGATGTAACTTTCCCCTTCTTGGATGGTTATGGATACGTTTCTCCCATTACTGAGGTTTGTGAAATCAGGATCACCTTGTTTTGTTGTAGTATCTGACATGTTTGCCATGTTTACGATGCTGGTATTTCTTGACTTGATCATTAGAATCTCTTAGACTGCAGACAACTGATGCCAATCAAAGGTAATTACTAATTGACAAAGTAATTGACTCTAATTGACAATGAGATAAGTCAAGTGCACAACAGTCCAGTACATCCAGACTATCAGACTTCAATCTTTCCAAATATAGATAACCTGACAATATGTAAATATACCAACATGATTATGGTATCTGCCATACATATTTGCTCAGACTAGTCTTATTTGACAAGCTCCTTACATTACTGAGTTCCAAGTTGCATGTAAACACAAATGTTTCACAAGGTTTTGTTTCACATCTGTCATAAATACATGTCTAGGAATATATCACCATGTTTTGCAGCTGTTTAATATTTTCAGCTCCTGTATGTGCCAGGTGTCTGCCACGTGTCGGTTTATGATACAATCTTCCTCAACTTTGCTAACAAGATTATATGTCACCTTACTGTTACATGTTAAACGTTAAGGTTATACAAGGAGTGCTGGTACATGTAGAAAGCATTGCTTGGTATTGAAGAATACACAGTGGTGGAATTCCCTGATCCCTGAGATTAAGTTCCATGTAACTTGATATCGTGAACACACAGGTGACATGTAGCTGTCCAGACCTTTATGTGCTATGACACCTCCCTGAAGTTGAAACAGAGCGTCTAAACTTGTCAATGTGCGCCACGTGTTTGCAGCTCCATCGGTTTCCTGCTTTTATAACACCATCTTCCTGTGTTGAACATACCCCTGTCCCAGGCTGCTGAAGTTGTGTATTACCGTTCAGGATGCCGAAAACATTTCTTGTTTCCAGAGGCTTGTTTCCAGTTGTACGAACAGCTGTCCGGCTACTTCCCACTGGCAGAGTCTAACTGATGGATCATCCGGGGGAGAGCCATATCAATATCTAATTATATATATAGTCTAACTTTTTTATTAACGATAAATGATTCGTGAAATTAACTTAAATTTAGTTTATAAAAGTTTCTTTAATCGTATTTTTGTGCATATCATTATCTTTCTATTCAATATTATAATATAGTAACATTTGTACATATTGATCCCCCTACAATCATTTATGGTTCGTTCTAATTGAAACCGGTTGTGGGATGTTCCATTTCTGGTTTAATAGTCTTGATAGTGTTCACTATGATATGAGGCCACTTTTCTATGGCACTGTAAATTAAACGTATATATTTGAGCATTTAGTTATAAAAAAGGTCAAAATGAATTGATGGGGTCATCAACCTTCTATAGCAAAATCAGATGCTTCTCACCCCCTTCTGCAAATAATACATTCCATTCTCCAAAATGGCGGCCACGGTGTTTGATTTTTCCGCAACGAGGAAAGCCTTTGAGGTGAGAATTAAGATCTAACAGAACAGATATTACTAATATTAATGTGTCAGAAACACTTCATGTGTTAAGGGGGTCTTAATAGATTCTTCAATTTTGCTCTGGAATCAACGTCGTTCATGGGAGAGGCGAGGCTATAGCTAGGTTTGGAGGGAGGGGGGCAAGAAAACGCTCATGATAAAAAATATCAAAATTCATATATCTCCACTTACCTGTGTGTTCCACATACAAAATAGCAGCAGATTTTGGATCTGCTTGGTTCTTTCCGTTTCAGCTTTCCTGGTATGCCAGGGCTAAACCTTGAATGTGGTTGTTTGTAGATGCCTTCTCTCCAGTCCTCAAAAGTTTGCAAGACAAATTATGATTTTCTGGTGTGTAATTTCTGTGATGTAACAGTTTGTTTTTCTCTGTAGGCTGAGATCCATGAGGCAGAGAGACTAAACAGCATGTCATTGTTACAGGAAAGGTTCATGAAGCTCTCAGGCAGGTATGGTCAACCTATTGTACATTTAGAGTTCTCACTGAAATTACCAAACTACCAAATTATCTTGTGTTGGGCTATTAATAAATATGATTTCCAAAGGCGTTATAATCATTTTTCACAGTGAGACAGAGAAGAAAAGCACCCTGGACCAGGCTTTCAGGGATGTTCTAAAGGACCACATTGTGAGTATCCTTAACTTCAGACCTTTTCAACATGTGCAACTTTAAAGTGCCGGGTCCTGCAAAAAAAAAACACTTTATACCCTTACTCGGAGTATTAACTTTTCCATCCCATATTCATGTTATTTACAGGTAAAGGAGAGTGGTTGTGATGTGTACTTGTCAGTCATTAGCCTGGCTGTGGACTGTGCAAAAGAAGGTATGAAGTACTTTTTTTGCCAGTAATTGATACATGTATTACATAGCTCAGTTTTTTTAATGTTATCCTTAGCCCATAAGATCTTTTTTCCATTATAGGAATGCAATACTGAAAAATGTAATACACATGTATAATTAGCATACACTAAGTAATAAAACAAAGCAACGTGGAATAGAATGTTGTAGAGTATGATGAAGCATCGACTTTTAGATATATTTTTCCAATGGTGCTTTCTGTTACCAGTAATGATACATGAGATCTACAGATATACAGTGTTTTAGTGGTTGGTTACATAACATCTGTAACTCTCATCGCTAACCTTGTCAGGTATGTGTCTTGGAATGATACCATTCCTCATGCTGGATGACGTCTTCTCCTCTGTGACCCTTGACGTGTGTGAGACGGTCTTCCAGTTTGTGGAGGATGGAGTCTCAACATGGAAAAAGGTAGATTCAGAATTCCAGACTTACCAAACCTTCCTCAGTGATAGTTAACCTTGAAATATAAAAAGTTTTGATAAAGATGAACATTGATTGTAAATTTGATTCTGTCAATATTGCATAATATATGGTGAATTGATTATTAACAAATTAGCACCACCTAGCTAGCACTGCTTGAACTGCAAGCATGTTCATGTACATGTTTGTATGTGTTATGAAAAAGGCCTATGCAATTTCTACAATCAATGAATAGTGAGGAAATTTTAGTCCAAAATGATGAGCGTAAAATGTATGTTGCAGAGATATGCTTCCCTGTTGTCAACAACATGGTTCCTTCTTTTTTTCCCTCAGGAACCTTATTACACAGGGGGAAAGAACTATTTGCTCAGAATGTGTAATGGTAAGTCTGAAATGTTTTTTCAGTGCTGTCGTATTAAGTGATTCTCTTTCTGTTTGGCTCGTATCCTAGAAATCACACATCTGTACACCCTGGATTGATTAGTACTTGATAAAGATTACTGCATAAGTAAAAAATCAGGAACTAAAATGTACTTTTTCTGCACCAAATACACATTGATGACCTAAAGAATTGTTTGCATGTTAACATATAAAAGGCAGGTTTTGGAAAAGATATGATTCACATGAAGAACAAGAACAGCTACAAAACTTTTCTTTTTGCCCTCAGATCTGCTGCGCCGACTGTCTAGGT